CACCAAACTTGTTCCTGGAGGGCCGGTGTCCTGCAGATTTCCGCTCCAACCCTAATCAAACACACCTGAACAAGCTAATCAAGGTCTTATAGGTATGCTTGAAACACCCAGGCAGGTGTGTTGAGGCAAGTTGGACCTAAACCCTGCAGGGACACCGGCCCTCCAGGACCGAGATTGGTGACCCCTGCTTTAAACTATTAAAAATGTTAATAAAAGTCACTTTTTCCAAACTTTTTCAAGGTTAAAAAGTTGTTGTAAAAAAGATTAAGGTACCATAATGCAATTCAAAAGCATAAATAAATAGGGAAAACTGATAATCTATGGATTTTTTTAATGTAGGTAATAGTGGAATAGTACAGTATTGATCCCTGTGATTGTGTTAAATGTCTCCTCCTCATAAGTTCTCGGCTCTGTTTTCCAGTAGCTTGGCAAGTAGCTTCTGTAACCCTGTTTCTGACAGTCCCTGCTGTATAAAAAGTGGAAAAGAGTAGCTCAGTGGGGTAATCACTGGGGCGTCTCCTTTGGCATACAAAAACAGCCTCTAACTTATGACCCTGCAGTGTCTGTCAGACACACATTTCACAAATTATGAAATATGGAAAGTTGGCCTACTGTGCTGAAGGAGACAAATGATTAGATTGCTCTTTGTCCTATAAAACATTTCAACACGCCCATGAAGCATGCAAATCAGACATGTATGTAATTATCTAATGGTTAGATTTGCATGCCTTTGATGGAATGTCTTGGCTCTTGTGAGTTCAGCACTGTGCATTTGACTTGCAGTAGGCCTCAATACACTACAGTGCATAAATATAAACTCCTCTCAACAATCTAAAACAATCATGGATGATCATTAGTTAACGCAAATTGTGTTGACATATTTACAAACCCAAATGCTGGGTTAAATATTTATTACATTTCAACCCAATGGTAGGATTTATCTATAAGTTTATTCATAAACTAATTTCGAGAAGATCACGTGATTATGATTGAACACGGCTGGTTCAGCATTAGCATGCATGATCCACCAATCAGATGATTCCTAACCCACTATAAAGAGCCAGAGTTTTTCACTACAGTCATCTTCGATTTGAAGAATCCCCCCTTCCACCCCCTCACAGCAAGAACGTCACCGGTTCAAGTCCTTTAACAGGCCGGTGGTCGTTTCTGTGCGTAGTTTGCATGTTCTACCCGTGCTCGTGTGGGTTTTCCCCGGGTCCTTCGGTTTCCTCCCACATTCCAAAATCATGCACAACAAGTGAATTGATCAATCTAAATTTTGCACTACAGTCAATCTCTCAACCTGCTGCATATCTCTTCATAGCATTCAATTTTTAGTCATCAGTCCTTATCAAGGGGGAGTTGTCGAGATCTACCGGAGCTCAAAGCTAACCTCTCGCCCTGCAAACGGGAGGGAGCCCAGGGCTCAAGGACCTTTTGGGCTCAGGGCTCTCTCCCAGGACAGCATGTCAAACTTGCTTATAATCAATCATCAGCTAAGTGTGAACTCTTGAAATGTGTGTTGAAACAGCATTTTTAGAGCGCACTAAAGGCTTTTTTCACGACAAAAATAACTATAAAGGTAACTTTAAGTGACTTAAGTGACTGTTAACGTGGCATGGTTGTTGGTGCCAGACGGGCTGGTCTGAGAATTTGTGCCACTCCTGTCAGCTTAGAACAGGCAACTGAGGCTACAATTCACACAGGCTCACCAAAATTGGACAATAGAAAATAAAAAAAAATAAAAAAACGTTGCCTGGTCTGATGAGTCTTGATTTCTGCTGCAACATTCGAATGGTAGGGTCAGAATTTGGCATCAACAACATGAAAGCATGGATTCATCCTGCCTTTTATCGATGGTTCAGGCTGCTGGTGGTGGTGTAATTGTGTGGGGGATATTTTCTCGGCACACTTTGGGCCCATTAGAACCAATTGAATCATCTCAGACCGATTTCTTGAACATGACCATGAGTTCACTGTACTCAAATGGCCTCCACAGTCACCAGATCTCAATCCAACAGAGCACCTTTGGGAGGTGATGTAACAGGAGATTCACATCATGGATGTGCAGCCGGCAAATCTGCAGCAACTGTGTGATGCTATCATGTCAATATGGACCAAAGTCTCTGAGGAATACTTCCAGTACCTTGTTGAATCTATGCCACAAAGGATTAAGGCAGTTCTAAAGGCAAAAGGGGTCCAACTAGGTTCTAGTAAGGTGTATCTAATAAAGTGGCCGGTGAGGGCAAGCCAACCTACTCAGAAGTACTTAGCTAGTTATTTACATATCATTCTCTTACTCTTTAAATGGGTTCTTAGTCAAAATAAGCTGCTATATAGACCACAAATCCAAAAGTCTGATTACCCCAGAGAAAAAAAGTGAAAGAAATCAAGTAGTACGATGCAAAGTTCTAAAACTATTTGCATACATGATATATTTCTGATCTTATCCTGGCAAATTACCTACTATAAAGAAGGGAAATGAGAGGAGACGAGTGAATAAATGAAGAAACAAATAAATAAAGAGTGTAATTTGATGTTCCTAAACTTGCAAAATAACAGTGTGCGATTGTTACAGACCCTCCCTCTCTGATGATTAAAGGAAGGATATTGGGAAGAGTAATTAGTGAAGTGTGTGTGTATGTGTGTGTGTGTGTGGGGCAGGCAGCTCCAGCCTCTTCTGACTCACTTTGTGGAAACTCTGAATGTTCTTGCGCCACTGTGCAAAGCTGCAAGCTATTACACATTGCATTATACAGCCAAAGAAAAAACCCTCTAACTACAGACAGACTGTCTCAGTAAATCCCTCTGACTATTTTTGCATGAAGCTACCCTTTTCCTCGCTTTTCCCACTCCCCACATCTCTGTCCTTACCCTCTGTTCATGTTCTTCCATTCCCTCTTTCCCCCTAAAAAACCACTCCCACCCTTTTTAAAATAGTCTCTGGATTTTGCTTGTGGTATTTTCCATCTCTGAGGAAAAGAAAGAAACCCTCTCAACATTAATCCAACATGACTGCCGTGTTGGAGAGAGAATGCAAGTAAAAACATGTCAGCGTTCGTTTATTCTGCGACCATCAAACAGAACTGTGCTTTTATAAGGCAGCAGGCAGCCCAGCTAAGCATCACAGAGTATGTGTGGACGTTATACCATATATCAGTATAAATGGTATATATATAAATATATACCATATATTTTTTGTATATTATTTTACAAAAAAAAAACATTTACCTTAAGAAGACACACCTTGGAGTGCCTGAATGCTCCTGCAATGTCATGTGAATAAGATGCTGCGATAGCTTTCAATCATCAGGAGATTTAGTAGATTATAAAGTTAACAGACACCATAGCAGGTGTATCTTTATGCATTATTATTATCAGTATTAACATACTACCTGACAAAAGTCTTGTCATCGATCCCTGTTGTAAAAGCAACAAATAATAACTTGACTTCTTATTGATCAGTTGGAAAATTGGCAGAAGGTAGATTTTTACCGATGAATCATCTGTTGAACTGCATCCCAATCATCACAAATACTGCATAGACCCAAGATTCTCACAGTCAATCAGTCACGTTTGTTGAAGGAAAAATCATGGTTTGGGGTTACATTCAGCATGGGGGTGGGTGAGAGATCTGCAGAGTGGATGGCAACATCAACAGCCTGAGGTATCAAGACATTTGTGCTGCCCATTATCTTACAAAACCACAGGAGAGGACAAATTCTTTATCAGGATAGCGCTCTTCGTACTTCAGCCTCCACATCAAAGTTCCTGAAAGCAAAGAAGATCAAAGTGCTCCAGGGTTGGCCAGCCCAGTCACCAGACATGAGCATTATTGAGCATGTCTGGGGTAAGATGAAGGAGGCATTAAGGATGAATCCAAAGTATCATGATGAGCTCTGGGAGTCCTGCAAGAACTCTTTCTTTGGCATTCCAGATGACTTTACTAATAAGTTATTTGAGTCACTGCAGCGATGTATGGATGCAGTCCTTTAAGCTCATGGGAGTCATACACAATATTGATTGTATTTTTATACTCTATATTGTATATTCTATACTGTACATTATTTCTTATTTCTTATCTTTTCTTACATTATTACATTACTTCTGTGACAAGACTTCTGTCCTAATTAAATAATTCAAATTCAAGGCATGATCATATTCGATTTTGGTAAAATAAGCGTAATCTAGAGCCCTTTGCCTTTTATATAAGACACTTCTTATCTAAATGATCAACTAGAGGTCAAGGTATTATTTGTTGTTCCTAAAACCTGGATAAGCGACAAGACTTTTGTCAGGTAGTATATTTTCACACACAAAAGCAAACAAAACAAAACATATGAATTGAAGGATATAACTGCAAACAATTATTTTGGGGCCAGGAATTATATAGAATTTTTTTTCCTTAACAGCTACGGTGTATTATTTTTTAAAGAAAATAAAGGTGTTTTTAGGCTGGGATTTTTTTATTTATTTTTTTTACATATAATGTTTAGAAAGTCGTGCATTTTAAGTATGCAAATGCTTTTTGGGCAACAGTATATAGCTATATTTGTTAGCGGTAAGACATTTACCCAAGACCACACCCAACCAATTACGTCTATGACACGATGCCCCCTGCATTTTCCATTATACTCAGTAAGAAAGATCTTCTTTTCAAAACACTCATAACTTTAAATTGAGCACAAAGGCATATATCATTGTTTTCTCCTGGTTTCTCCTGTTTAATCTAAAATCTAAAGAGAGATCTCAACAATGTCTTTAAATGTGCAATGATCTGCTAGAAAACCGAAATCTGCAGTTAAAAGTAACATCGTTCTAATGTTTTAATAAGAGCATGCTTTATCAATTTCCTCCAAACACTTGAGCTATCAGCTGTCTGTCTGCATTCATTTTATATTGTACTGTATGTCTCTTTCGTGTCTTTCTTTTTTGAAATGATAATGTAATATCAAGTACATTTTTATACTTTAACTGTGTTTAAACTGTGCAAGTCTCACCTGATAGATCATGACTTTAAAGTTTCTTCTCTTTAGGAGCTCGTTCTCGTTGCTCTCCAGACGTTTGATCTGGCCAGCCTGTTTCTCCAGGTTCCCCCGCACCGACTTGACGTTCACGCTCACCTTACGCACCTTCTCCAGCATCTTATTGACGGTGTTGGCTGTGGTGGTGTGGCTCTTGGACAGTTTGGTGAGCTCCCCCTGGATTCCCGTCACAGATCTCTCCATGTCCCGCTGACGGGCTTCCAACCCAGCCTGCGTCTGCTGGATCTGGTCAACGGCTCCAATGATTTTGTCAAGCAGCGTGAGGACCATGACCCCATTCATCTCGCCACCCTCCCCAGCCTCTTCTTTCTCGGCAGCATCTTTAGCTTTGTTCTCGGCGGTGGCTTCGTCTTCATCATCAGAGACCGGGAGGTTGATTTCATCTTCTGAGATCTCAGTAAGAGACTTGCGCAGCTCGGGCACCTCCAGATGCAGACGGCTGTCTTCAATCACCTCCATGTTTGAAACTTGAACGTGCTTGCAAAATAAAAGTGGAATGTGAGAAGGATGCAAGCTGTGGGAAGTTCTGTGTCCTCACTCGCCTTTCTTTCTGCTCTCAGGATTCCCCTCTGTAGAGTTCACCTAACTGTTCCCTCCTCTGTCACACTCACCACATCTGCTCTCCCTCCTTCTCTCTGTTTCTCACTCTGTGTGTGTTTGGGATCTGGCCAGAGCAGCGGAGGCTGGCAAGCAGGCTGTGGACGGTCTGTACTGCATGAGAGCTGGGTCGTCAATGCCACACTTTCCTGTGAAAGCCTTCAGACAAATCAGCTGCGTGCCAGCTGCCTTCCTCTTGCCCGCTGACACTCCCCCTGCACGCACGCTGTGAGGCTCGGGCTGCGCTGGAGAGCAGTGCTCCACCCTGTGGCTTCCAATGAGACCCTACAGGAAAAAAAATCCCAAATGAGATCTCTACGGTGATAAACATTTTTCCACTGTCAGAACAGTTTACATTTCAAGATGAAGACTCCAGTCATATCAGTGCAGTAGAAAAAAAATGGTTTATTCTACTTTGTTGCGGTCTGTACTCACATGACAAGTTATACAGCCCAAGGTGGATACATTTGAGTAAATGTTAAAAGAATACTTGTGTTTATGTACAGTGCTCAGCATAGATGAGTACACTCCATTTTGAAAATGTATATTTTTATCTATATCTCAGTGAATATGGGTGATTTATTTTGGTGCATTTGAACAAAACAGATTTATGTTTTAAACAGATATGTTTATTAAAATAATATTTTAGTCATCAAACATATTTAGATATGCAAAGATGATACAATTAAATTCATGTAAAATATTGTAAAAAAAATTACAACCTACAAAACTTCAACTAAATTTTATATATTTTTCTCCTCTCTTGATTTTTGCTATTTTTGAAATTTTTATTTAATATTTTTCTAATGCTAATTTAATTTTGAACCATTATTGTAAGATATTTTATTACCGCGTTTCCTGTCTGACGCATTTGCGTGCGCATGAATGGAAGTCTATGAGGAGAAAAGTCAAGTGTGACCGCAGCTTTATGGCAAAATCATTAGGATGCTCATTCATTAGAAGATCATGTTCCATGAAGATATTTTGTAGATATTTTTAGTTATATACATTGCGGGCGAGGCAGTGGCGCAGTAGGTAGTGCTGTCGCCTCACAGCAAAAAGGTCGCTGGTTCGAACTTCAGCTCAGTTGGCGTTTCTGTGTTGAGTTTGCATGTTCTCCCTGCGTTCGCGTGGGTTTCCTCCGGGTGCTCCGGTTTCCCCCACAGTCCAAAGACATGTGGTACAGGTGAATTGGGTAGGCTAAATTCTCCGTAGTGTATGAGTGTGTGTGTGAATGTGTGTGTGGATGTTTCCCATAGATGGGTTGCGGCTGGAAGGGCATCCGCTGCGTAAAAACTTGCTGGATAAGTTGGCGGTTCATTCTGCTGTGGCGACCCCGGATTAATAAAGAGACTAAGCTGGAAAGAAAATGAATGAATGAATATATACATTGCTAAGAGGTTAATTAAGGGCAAATTTAATGTCAATTTTCCCAATATATAGATTTACTTGAACCCTCAGATTTGCAAGTTTTCAAATTGCACAATCTACGTACATTCTAATAAAGATTCCTTGAAATAGTTGCATTTTGGCTGATTATTGTCCTTTCCGAACAAACTAGTAAATAGAAAAATATTACATTTATTCAGCTTTCAGATGATCAACAAATAAACAAATCACTCTTATGACAGTTTTTTTTTTCCCCGGGTTACATATATTGATATAAAGAAGTATTTTTCATTCATTTTCTTTTTTTGGCTTAGTCCTTTTATTAATCTGGGATCGCCACAGCGGAATGAACCGCCAACTTATCCTGCATATGTTTTACACAGCGAATGCCCTTCCAGCCCATCACTGGGAAACACCTATACACTGCGGACAATTCAGCTCACCCAATTCACCTATAGCACATGTGTTTGGACTTGTTGGGGAAACCAGAGCACCCAGAGGAAACCCACGGCAAGACGAGGAGAACATGCAAACTCCACACAGAAATGCCAGCTGACACCGATACCACAATCCCCTTTGCTTTGAGGCAACAGCGCTATCCACTGCGCCACCGCACCACCTTAATAACTATTTTCTCTCTATATATAAATATACACTTCCACACTTGTGCTATATAAATGAACTGCTATTGCCTTCTCATACCCTGTCTTTTTTCAGGAACAGTATAAAAGTAATGTACTTTGGTATGTTATTTTAAAATTTATTATTGTAAATTGTATAGCTGAGCTTAACACATCTCAATGTAAAGTCCAAAGATCACATTTATAGCTGTGAATTTATACTGCATACCATTAACAGTCTCCTTTGTGTCTTTTTATACCTTCTAATTGATTAATAAGAAATGTGTTTATACGAAACATAATTCCAAACTCTATTATATCTTTTGAGCAAACTCTATGAGTAATAACATTTTCCTCCGGGACACATCTGTATATGTGTGGAGATAACATACGGTTCTGGAGAGTGTAACAGTATTAGACAGGCACAGACACAGTGAGAGCTGGAATGCGATCCAGACCTGGAGGGTTATTCAGTTCCCTAAAGGCCAATTTTTTCCCATTACAGCACGTAAATAAAGCTAAAGGAAGAGTTTACCAAAATAACTTGTACTCTCATGCGTGTGGCCCTTGCATGTGTACACATGTGCAAGTGGGTGTTTTCTTCCAGCTCATCTCTTAGTGACAGACTGCTGTTATTTACAATTTCACAGAGAATAATGTAATATTAAGTTGGGAGTGATTGATGATAGCACGATTTCCACTGGAATGGAAAAATGGTTTGGGTAGATTTGGTACGACTCCAAAATATGAGGTAAGACACATAAATTGAAACATCAGAGAGGATATTCATCACTTTCAAAGCTTTACCTGTCTAGATGCTCGATTAATTTGTGCTTTTATCAATCGTAAGTTTTGAAAACAGGCTTTACGAGTTACTATAGCAAGTTTCAGATGTGCCTATGTGTGAATTGGTCAGGGGTACGCATGTATGTTTCTCACCTCTGGCTCTTCAGTAGTTCCCGGCTCTAAATATGCACTGGTTCATTACAGAGTCTGTGCTACATTCTTCAGAGGTCTGCCCTCTCACCTTTCACCGTTGCACAACACACAGAGCTGCATCATATCCTTCACAAAAAAAAGAAGTATAGTTCAAGTTATTATTTTAACATAAAATTAAGAATACATTAAGTATTTTTTTTAACATTTATTTGTGATTATTTTCTCAAGCTTCCACAAAACATTTTGCACATTCAAGCATGCAATTTTCCCCCCATTTTGAACATTTCCGCCGAAATGAACTAGCAAACAAATAAAATCAAAATACAATTACAACAGGAATAGACAAAAGCACAGCAAAATTTAAAATATTAATAATAATAGTAAATAAATAAATAAAAAGAATAAAATAATAATAATAGTAAATTAAAAAAATAATAATAATAAACTTTAAAAATAATTCAAATAAATAATTACCTACAGTACATGATAATACAAATCAATACTCTGTTACATTTATAGTGGTCTTTTACATAAATATCAAACTAAACTATATTGGTGATCACAGTTAAACCTGTTTGCACAGATTTATTTATATAAATCAGTTAAAAGAGAGAGTCTTCCTTCTTTTAAAATATGTGATCATAGGTTGTCATGTCTCATAAAATTTTTGGACAGATCCCTTCATTAAATACTTAATTTTCTCTAATTTCAAATATAAAATCAGATCACACATCCACATTGAAGCTTTAGGGGAAGCTGCTGATTTCCACTCAAGTAGTATTCTTCTCCTTGCTAACAAAGTAGCGAAGGCGAATACATTTTTTCTTTTGTTTGTCAACAATATATTGTGTTCTGGTACCCCAAAGATAGCTAACTCAACACTAGGTTTTATCTCTAAATTAAAGGCGTCATTTCATGTTTTAAATATTTGTGTCCAATAGTCACTCAACTGTATACTTTAAGTATTACTCCAAATCAGAAAACAGTATGGAAAACGGAAATAAAAAAAGAAAGTATGACTTCCAAATTTATTTTGACTTGCATTTCATTGCATACAACATGAACACAAAATATCTCATATTTTGTCAGGTCAATTTCATTTCATTTTCAAATAAACATCCTTTCCTGTCATTCAGATCTGTAACACATTCCAAAAAAAGTTGGGACAGGAGTACTTTATGGTTAGTAATCAGATAAATTGGTTAAATAATGACGTGATTTGAAAAAGGTGATGTCAACAGATGATTGTAATTATGATTTGATACAAAAGCAGCATCCGAAAAAGGTTTAGTGTTTAAAGAGCAAAGATGGGTTAAGGATGGTCAGTTTTCAAATAAATATGTGAGAACATTATTGAAATGTTTAAAAAAATATTCCTCAAAGAAAGATAGGAAGACGTGCATATTTCAACGCCAACAGTACATGTAAGCTTTTAGAAATATACTCCAGTCCAATTGTACAGAATATACTTGAAAATAGCTATTAAAATCTAGAGGGTTCTAGTTTAACCAGGCAGCTTTTATGCAAACGTTCAGCTTGCCATGAAAAAAATTATGCTTTCACCGAAATAGAGAAACCCTTTCTAAGTGTGTAGGTTTGTATTTTACACTTTTACAGTCTATAATTTCATAGCACTGTACAAATACTCAAAAATGTCTCTGTCAACCAAAGTCACACAAGAGCTAATTTCACATCTGTAAGTAAGCTTTTTCCTCATAAATGCAAAAATGTCAAATAAATTAAAATCAATCATGTTTGTTCTATAGAGAGACCCAACTCTTGTCCTTTTGATTAGCATTGTTTCCTTGGGGTTGTGAAATTTCACAAAATGTCTACAAAGTATGTTGTATACTGTGAACTTGCTAACTTTTTTGGTCACATCTATTTCGCATGTTTATTTTCCTCATTTAAAATATAAAAAAGTTTACAAATTGATATTTTTCTGAGCCCATAGCTCTGGTGAGTTGTTGAGAAAAATATGAACAGATGTTTCACTATAATGTCAACATGTGAATGTATGTTTTGATGTATGTTTTGTGAATGTATGTTTTGTCTATTACATTACATGAAAAAATCTGCCAAATTCTGGTAAATTTCTGTGTGAATTATTGTCACGTTTATACTCAAAACGCTCTATTTGAAGATAATTTACCCATATTAAACCTACCTGGTCTACATTTTTCTTTTTGGATGGAATGGGAAACGTTTTTCACCCTTCCAAAAGGATAATATAAACACTGTTTATACATGACACGTAAGGTTTTAGGATTTACCGTGGAAAGGTCAGTCATCTTGAAAAGAGAAACAATCACGTGACGCTGTAGCAGCAGCTGCGAGAGTGACGTCATACAGCAGTTCTCACCATCATCAGCGCAGACGTGAACTGATCTAGTGAAGACGTCGAGGACGGTAAGAGCGTTTATCTTTATTTTTCGTGTTTTTTTTTTCTTCACACTTATAACAAATACAACACATATATATTTAAAGTATGACGTTTTATACGAGCGGGAATTTGTTTTATATGTTACCGCTAGAATGAGATGGTGATGCTAGTCTATGGGCTATCTATGTCTACCATTTGTGCTGTTAAATTCATTAATATTTGTAGTAATTCTGACTTCAATATTATATTGTGCTCGCGTCGAAGAATCCACAGTTAACAGCATGCTATTGATTAATGAATTGAAAATCTGCGTTAATCAGAAACGATGGGTTAAGGCGTTTACTGTTTTTTTCATACATTCAATTATGATTAACGTTATATGTTAGTTCCATATAAATGTTTGTTTTATTAAGCATAGTGATCAAACGCCGATAAAAAAACATTCTCGCTGGGAAGATAGATAGAGAACCCTGTAATGGCGCCCTTCAAGAGCTGAAGGACAGTGCGGCAGAGATGGTGAGAGTTGTTGAGTCATCAGCCAATCAGCTCTCAGAGCTGTGAAGAACGATGAGCCTCTCGGCCAATCAGTGAATAGAGATAGAAGGGACGTTGAGCTCATCATCCATTCAGAAGGGATGCTGAGCTCTCGGCCAATCAGCTCGTTGATATGCTAGGGATGCTGAGCCTAGCCCAGAGATTTTGTATTAGAGGAGGCTGCCTCGGTTTCTGGATAATTTTAATAAAGTTTGGTTTAGTTTGCTTGTAAAATGATCAGATTAGAATACTTTATGAGTTGTAATGCCTGTAATGCATTTTAATTGGACAAAACAGATGTTTTGTGAAGTTTGGTTACAATTTACACATGCTAATTCAGTATTAAAGAAACAATTTCAATGTTATGAACAGTATAGGCCTAATAAAATAATATGTTTTTGCATAAAGTGTTATACACTACCATTTAAAAGATTCTTAAAAGACAAGATTTATATTTTTACCTTTTTTTCAGAAAGTATGAGAAAATGTCAGTGATAACGTTTATTGTTACAGATTGTTATTGAATACAAATTGTTATTGAATACAAATTGTTATTGAATACAAATTGTTGTTGAATACAAATTGCCGCACGTGACTTGAATATCTTTATTTGTAAATAATTTATAATTTAAGATTGACTGTGATGATTCTGTAGGGGAGTGCATATGCATAAAACAAATAAAACAATGTACACACATAGACAAATACAATTAAAAAAAGGCAGAACTGAAATAAACAGTGTTTTATTGTTTTCCGAGGAGTCTAACAGTATTTAGGTATACATTAATTGAATAATCAGATGTAGAATAATACTGCACAGTCTTCTTTATCTTTATGAATAATATGAGTACAATATATCATTATTAAAGTTGTAAACGGTACAATTTCTTATTCCTGAGTGCTTTTCAAATCCTCATACATTCACAGGCTTCAAAAACACATGCAAAAGTTTAATTATAATCCAGACTCAACATTGCATATCCTACGATGTGACTATTGCATATGATCACATTGCAATATCAATGCTGAAACAATATATTGTGCAGCCCTAATATATATATTTATTTATTTATAGAAAATATAATATACATTGTATTCATTTATTTATACAGGTTCACCACCATCTCAGGGGAAAAGCTGCATTTTAAACATAAGGATATATTGAAATATGTGACCCTTGACAACAAAACCAGTCATAAGTGTATCTATTTTTATTTATCTAGAATCAAAATAATCTGAAAGCTGATCAAAAAAGCTTAATACCCAGATAATTGCCTTTAAAATTGAAGTGCTTAGCAAAACATTACTAATCATAATTTGAGTTTTGATATATTTCCAGTTGGAAATGTACAAAATATTGTCATCTTTACATAATATTAAATTATTTTTGGCACAAAAGAGAAATCTATTATATTACTTATTTAAATAAATATACACATGCAACATAAGATTGGTTTGTGGTCTGAAGTCAATTGTAATACTATTCAATCATAGAAATAATAAAAAAAAATCAATTAATTTTTTTTTAATTAAATACACATATTTGTAAAATTTCTTTTTTCTTCCCTACTCACCATCCAGTGAGCATCCATTGTTTTTTGAGCCGTGGGTGAGTTCCTGTGGCCGGCAGCATCATGGGGGAGTTGTTCCGCAGTGAGGAGATGACTCTGGCCCAGCTCTTCCTCCAGTCTGAAGCGGCCTACTGCTGCGTCAGTGAACTGGGGGAGCTGGGAATGGTCCAGTTCAGAGATGTACGTAGATATAAAATGTTTTCCCTTTCTCTTCCCAAGTTATTAATGTTAATTATGAATTGAAACCTCTTTCTTTCTTTTTCTTTCTTTCTTTCTTTTTTCTTTCTTTCTTTCTTTCTTTCTTTCAGCTCAACCCTGATGTGAACGTGTTTCAGAGGAAGTTTGTGAATGAAGTTAGACGTTGTGAAGAGATGGACAGAAAGCTCAGTGAGTGGATCAACATGTCCACACTTACACCAGAAACAGCTCTCTTTAGTAAAATTCGGTGATTTACGTAAAGCCCCAGTTAGATCACAAAATGACAATCATCAAGTTCAGCAAGCTATTTGCAGTTTTGTCTAGTCAAATTTTTTTGTCATCAGCCCCAGCAGCAAAGGGTTTTTCCCAAATACCACTTTATTTTTAATTACGAACAAAATTGAAAAACCACTATTAAGATTTTTATCTCAAAATATATTTGTCTATTTTAATAATTGACATTTACAATATTAAATACTACATTAACATATTCATCTACGCACTGCTACTGTACCTGTGATTGCATCTAGAATCCACTATATTTCTACATAGGCTTTTTAGGAAGGTGCTACAGTCATTTTTTTGTTCCACCCAGTGCATTAGATTAAAATAAAAACAATCAAATTTACTTTTTACTCAACATTTTATCCCGTTTCATCCCATATTTTTACATGTATAATTTTGTGGTGGTGAAGCGATGTGTCTTCCACAGACTTACCCTTTAAACAGTTAAAGACAGAATTATTAGCCCCCTTTTTTTATTTTTTTATTATTTCCCAAATTATGTTTAACAGAGCAAAAAAATTCACAGTATGTCTGATAATATTTTTTTATACATTTTTTATAATATTTTTTTATTTTTCTTCTAAAGAAAGTCTTATTTGTTTTATTTCAGCTATAGTAAAAGCAGGTATTGCTTTTTAAACACCATTTTAAGGTAAAAAAAAATATTAGCCCCTTTAAGCTATATATTTTTTCAATAGTCTATAGAACAAACCATCATTATACAATAACTTGCCTAATTACCCTAACCTGCCTAGTTAACATAATTAAGCCTTTAAATGTCGCTTTAAGCTGTATAGAAGTGTCTTGAAAAATATCTGGTAAAATGTTATTTACTGTCATCATGACAAAGATAAAATAAATCAGTTATTAGAAATGAGTTATTAAACTATTATGTTTAGAAATGTGTTGAAAAAATCTTCTCTGCGTTAAACAGAAATTAGGGAAAAAATAAACAGGGGGCGAATAATTCTGACTTCAACTGTATGTGCCAGCACTTCAAAGCAATACATTAATATTTATAATATGATGGAACACAACAAATGGTTGGCGACTACCTATGTCGCTTATGTCTGGATCCATCCCAATTAAACACGAAAATTCAGAGAACAGATGATTAAATGATGTTTGTAAATTTCTGCTGTTGTCATGTTTTGCAGGGTTTGTAGAGAAGGAGATTAAGAAAGCCAACATTCCTACTATGGACACTGGCGAGAATCCTGAAGTCCCGTTCCCTCGAGACATGATTGACCTTGAGGTAATTTTTTTCTCTCATGCTGCTAATTTGGGCAAAAAATGTATTTTACTCACCATATGTAGGTGCAAACCCATATGCAGTTTTATATTATGTATTTATTTATTTTCTGGAACATAAAAATGAGAAATTTTGAAGTACTTAGTTCATCTTTAATTTTGTTTATCATGTTTTGTCAAAGTATAGTTGTCATTACAGTCTGTTTTTGGCAATATTTGTACAATTAACCATCTTTCAGCCTATTAGTAAACCTTTTCCTTCTTCTGATGTCTTCACTTAGTAACCAGACCCCATTTTTCAAACATGTTTATGGAAAACATTGAATATTTAAATATTTATTTCTTGCCATCATCTTTAATTCATACAGTAATCATGCCTTTGATCTCCAGGCAACCTTTGAGAAGCTGGAGAATGAGCTGAAGGAGATCAACACTAATCAAGAGGCCCTGAAGAAGAACTTTCTAGAGCTGACAGAACTCAAGCATATCCTCAGACGTACTCAGCAGTTCTTTGATGAGGTCTGCCTAACCCTTGCACTATGAAAACAAACCACGATTTGTTAATGTGTGATGTCTGCTACAGCTGAAATATCGCCACAGGACACATTTACCCATACAAATAAGATGTATTGTCCAAACCACTATGACTCGTAGCTATAATTCTACTGGATTCTCTTTAGATGGAGGATCCTAACCTGTTGGAAGAATCATCATCTCTGCTGGACCCCAGTGAGGCCGGCCGGGGGGCTCCACTGAGGCTGGGGTGAGTTCCAGTGAATCTTCACAATTCTGTATACCAGTTTTAATAGTAAAAAAAGAAGTATTTCAACTTTAATAATTTATTTTTAGATTGCATAGTAACAAATCTGTTACAGTTTACTATATTTAAGTGTTGTAATGAACAAGAAAATTAAAAACTAGCTGCAAATGTAATGTAAAATAAAACTAATATAAAGCATAGCAAATGTAAAATTAAAATAACTACAACTATTTGATGTTACTCTATGAATTTATGCAATTAAAAAGCCATTTGTATTACATATTACTAATAATAATAAGTAGTGTGGTGAACCAGATAAAACTTGATATACACTCACCGGCCACTTTATTAGGTACACCTGTCCAACTGTTAACACAAATTTCTAATCAGCCAATCACATGGCAGCAACTCAATGCATTTAGGCATGTAGACATGATTAAGTGGATCTGCTGCACTTCAAACCAAAAATCAGAATGGGGAAGAATTTAAGTGACTTTGAACATGGCATGGTTGTTGGTGCCAGATGGGCTGATCTGAGTATTTCAGAAATTGCTGATCGACTGGGATTTTCATGCTCAACCATCTTTAGGGTTTACAGAGAATGGTCCAAAAAAGAGAAAGTATCCAGTGAGCGGCAGTTCAGTGGGCGCAAATGCCTTGTTGATGCCAGAGGTCAGAGGAGAATGGCCAGACTGGTAGAAAGGCAACAGTAACTCAAAAAACCACTCGTTACAACCAAAGTACTGTATGCAGAAAAACATCTATGAATGCACAACACATCGAACCTTGAGGCAGATGTGCTGCAGCAGCAGAAGACCACACCGGGTGCCACTCTTATCGGCTAAGAAAAGGAAACTGAGGCTACAATACACACAAGCTCACCAAAATTGCATTGTAAATGATTAGAAAAACGTTGCCTGGTCTGATGTGTCTCGATTTCTGCTGCAGCATTTGGATAGTAGGTTCAGAATTTGGCGCCAACAACTTAAAAGCATGGATCCATCCTGCCTTTTATCAATGGCTCAGGCTGGTGGTGGTGTATTGGTGTGGGGGATACATAATTGGCTCACTTTGGGCCCATTAGTACCAATTGAGCATCATGTCACCGCCACAGCCTACCTGGGTATTGTTGCTGACTGTCCATGCCTTTATGACCACAATGTGTCTCACTTCCAGCAGGATAATGTGCCACGTCATAAAGCGTGAATCATTTCAGACTGGTTTCTTGAAAATAACAATGACATTACTGTACTTATATGGCCTCCACAGTCACCATATCTCAATCCAAAAGAGCACTTTTGGGATGTGGTGTATGTGTGTATATATTTATGTGTATAACATTTTATAAATATTTATTTACACACATATATTATGTTACCTATGCAATTAACTTTAATCCAGCACTAATAAGAAAGATTTGTTTAACAAATTAAAAAAAAAATCAATGTTTAATAGTATTAATTATTTAACTATATTAATATTTTAAGCATGAAAACAGAATTTGAGGTAAATATTGATTTTATTTACATTTTGTTCATCATGCAAAGCAATCATATGAACCTTGAAGTCACTGTTTAAAATGCTCACTGTAGAGGCAATTCGATTTTACTTTCACAGTTTGGAAGTAAAGTTATCACGTAATGTTTTTCTAAAGAAAAAATAACATACCAAGAAATTCTTATATAATAAATGCAATAGCATTTCTGATTGTTGTTTTAAGTTCGTTCGTTCATTAAGATTAAGTTTTTAAAATATTAATTTATTTCACTAATGTCACTTTCATCCAAACTCTCACATCTTGTAGTCAAACCTGTAAAGAGTGTTAAAACTGTAAACCAAAATCATTGTGTAATTTACAAGAGAGTAAATATCAGGTTTGCATTGGCTTTAGTGGATTTTGTATACTTTGTTAATAATAAATTTGTTTACCTTTTAGATTTGTGGCTGGTGTCATCAACCGTGAAAGAATCCCTACGTTTGAAAGGATGCTGTGGCGAGTCTGCCGTGGAAATGTCTTTTTACGTCAGACAGAGATTGAGGATCCCCTTGAAGACCCCACAACAGTCAGTGCCTATTATTTTTTCGATTAAAATATTTGCATTTGAAATGTTTAGTGCTGGTCTATGATTAAGTGTGATTGATCACATGTAAAAATAAAAACAGAGCAAGGAGTTTTTCACAGTATTTCCTGTAATGTTTTTTCTTCTTCGTCTTATTTGCTTTACTTCAGCTTGGATAAAAGCAGTTTCTAATTTTTTCTAAAAGCATTTTAAGGTCAATATCATTAGCCCCCTTAAGTAATATTGTTTTTTGATTGTCTACAGAACAAACCACTGTTATACAATGACTCGCCTAATTACCCTATCTTGCCTAATTAATCTAGTTAAGACTTTAGATTGCACTTTAAGCTGAATATTTGATATAGATCACAGAGAATCATTCCCAAGTACTAGAAAGTTTGTTTACAAGTTAGATAACATTGACAACACAAGTCATGGATCTTTGTTTGCCACAGGGCGATCAGGTGCACAAATCGGTGTTCATCATCTTCTTCCAAGGAGACCAGCTGAAGAACAGAGTGAAAAAGATCTGTGAAGGGTATGGTGCTTTCTGATCCATGATAATTCTCAGAATTTTGACCTGTAATAATCAATGATTTTACGTACTATACTTACTTAACCTATTTGCAGGTTCCGTGCATCTCTGTACCCGTGCCCTGAGACCCCTCAGGAAAGGAAGGAAATGGCATCAGGTGTCAACACCCGCATTGATGACCTCCAGATGGTATGCTCTAATGATAAATGAAAACACAATCGTGACCGCACCTACATTAGTATTCACTCCAGTTCGATATACTATTATATCTATATATCATAAGCAAGTGTAACCCCGTCAGTCCTACACCACCCAACCCGCTCCAAGCTGGGCTAACAGAATAGATGTCAATGACTAGATTCATTCATTCATTTTCTTTTCCGCTTACTCCCTTTAATAATCCGGGGTCACCACTTTTGATGCACTTTCTGAAAATACGTCACATACGAGAGGCCTTTAAAGGAACACTCCACTCCAATTTCTGTCGGTTTTAAATAGTAAATTTATCAAAACACTTTTTTGAATTTTTTGAACAATGCTAATGGGCAAATCTGATTCAATTCATTATGCTAAGATGCTAAAAGTGACCCTACCAGAAGAAGAAATCAGCTAAATGGATTTACCTCTAGGAGACTTGTAAAATGAGCCTTTAAATATCCCTTTAAATCTTTAAGCTCTGTAAAAGCAACATGGGTTACGATTTAATTTTATTGTTATTCAATTTTATTCAAATTGTTAATTTAAGTTTTTTATTATATATAATTCATTTCTTTTATTGATCTTATTCTGCAGTTCTGGTTTTTGTGATTGCTTTAAAATGTCCAATTCAGTTACATATGGGAGAAATGATTGTATTAAGAAACGGCAGAAAACGATCAAACTGTTAGCTCTAAAGTCAAGTGTGTTTATGATTGTACATACAAATATAAATAATATAATTACTAAGTATTAGTTCGGCAGCATCAATTTTTATGGCTGAAATTGAATGGAAGACATTGAGACCGGAAGAACAATGTCAATACGGTATATTTATTCTGAAAGTGATTTAAACAATGTTGTTCCTCCGTTCTTTTATCATTACAATGGTGGTTTGGACTCATAAATCTATGATTTTTTTAAATCTGTCATTTTAAAGTGTTATCATTATAGTGCTTTGTGTGTGTGTGTGGAGAAAAGGGTCTTTTCCTCCAATTGTAGTTATTTTTTTTCAACTAAATCTTGATTACCAATTAATTTCATCCATTTTTACTGTACAATATCTTAATCTAAATATATCATAAAGTGGTCTAAAGTAATTTAAATGTTAATTATTGAGTGATTTTGTTGTTATAGGTATTGAATCAAACTGAAGACCACCGGCAGAGGGTTTTGCAGGCCGCTGCAAAAACTATGCGCGTGTGGTTTATCAAAGTGAGGAAGATGAAGGCCATTTATCACACGTTGAACCTCTGCAACATCGACGTTACACAGAAATGTTTGATTGCTGAGGTCTGGTGCCCCGTTTCTGACCTTGATTCCATTCAGTTTGCTTTGCGGAGGGGAACAGTAAGTAATATACATCAATCTAATAATCAAATAAATGCAAAGAGTCAATATTTATTGCATATATTCACCACCAGTCAAAAGCATGCCAATAGTTTTTGTTTTATTGTTATGCTACAAGCCTGTAGATCTCCAGTGATATGCTAAAATGCTTACAAATATTTTTGTAGATTATATAAATTGTGCCTAAACTTGTAATAAATGGTTTGGAGCACATAGTTGCACATATAACATACTGTAAAATTAAACTATTTCAATACAATTTAAGTAATCTTAGATTTATCTTAGAGTAAACTTTACTAATAAAGAATAAGCTGAAGCATTTAGCAATGTACTTTGTAAACGTTGTACCACAGTGGTAATTATACCATTTTTACCCCGAATTAATTTAGGAAAGAAGTGGGTCTACAGTTCCCTCCATCTTAAACCGAATGCAGACCAAACAGACTCCACCTACTTACAACAAGACCAACAAGTTCACCTCTGGATTCCAAAACATTGTGGATGCTTACGGCATCGGAACCTACCGAGAGATCAACCCAGGTATCAACATGCATTAAGGATAAAGTACATTTATACAGAAGCTGTACACTTGTGATGATGATCCACAAAACCAGTTATTAGTGTCAATGTTTTGAAATTTAGATTTAAACCTCATATGATATGAGATATAAATATAGCCTTCCATTGATTGTATGATTTGTTATGATTGCACAATATTTGGCTGAGATACAACTATTTGAATATCTGGAATCTAAGGGGTTGAAAAAAAATCAAAATATTGAGACAATAACATTTAAAGATCTTAGCAGTGCACATTAATAGTCAAAAACTATATTAACAGTAGGTTTTATATATTAACAGTAGGACATTAACAAAATTTATTCAAGAAACATCATTTATACTTATATTCTAATGATTATTGGCATAAAAAAATCTATTATTTTAACTTATTCCTTCTGCATAGTCCCTTATTTATCAGAGATCACCACAGTGGAATGAATCGGCATATGTTTATTGGCAACGGATGCCCTTCCAGTCGTTACTCAGTTCTGGTAAACATCCATACACTCACATTCACATACACACTAATACACTACAGCCAATTTTAGATGATCCAATTCACCTATAGCGCATGTCTTTGGACTGTGGGGGAAACTAGAGCACCTGGAGGAAACCCAAGCGAACACAGGGAGAACATGCAAACTCTACACAGAAATACCAACTGGGCCAGTTGGTACTGGAACCAGTGACCACCTTGCTGTGAGGTGACAGTGATAAGCACTGAGCCACAGTGTCGCCCATTATTTTGAATCATTCAATGCATTCTTGCTAATGCCAAAAATATACTCAAGCAACGTAAGATTGGTTCTGTGCTCACATTCATTGTACATTTAAACTGCATTAATACAGAAGTGCATATTGTTTGTGCTTAATAACCATACATTTACCATTTAGGGCTTTATTTTACCGATCTAGACGCAAAGTCTAAAGCACATGGTGCAAAAGCATTAATGTCATGTCCAAATCCACTTTTTCTATTTTAAGGACGTTTTAATAAAAATAAAAAGTTAATACGTTTTGCGCCCTGGCGCATGGTCTAACAGGGTTGTGCTTTTTCTCTTAATGTGTTATGGGTGTGTTTTGAGCATACTGTGCAGTAAACCAATCAGAGTCTCCTCTCCCATTCCTTTAAGTCAGTTGCGTCACGCCATGGTGCATTTGCTATTTACATGGCAGATTTTGTAAGAGGAAAAACTGAACGCTTCACTAGCATATAGATTAAAGAACAACCATCCTCCATTCGGCCTCTTTACTTTCTCTTTACTTTTACTCATTACTTTCTTGGAGTAAGGAAACAGTTTGTACGCACGCCACTGAAGATATCTATTAGCCTACATATTTAATTTAGTTTGTTAAGCACAAAGAGTTATTTCAAAACTATTTCTAAATTCAGTTCTAATTTACCGCAAACGAATAAATGAACAATAATAATGAGTTATATCCAAACATACTATCCTATTCTTATGCCTCATATGGTGATGCATTCATTTTCAAAACCCGGCAGGAGGACAAATCTAAACTTGTTTTTAATAAAACAAATATAAATATGTATATAATAAATAATACTGCTAATAACAACAACATTACATAAATGCAAATTTTCATAAATTAACTAAAAAAAGCCCCCTGATAGGAAGGCACGGAGGCATTTCAGTTCTTCAAAATAGCAACTTGCTAACAATGCACCTTAACACACCTCCTTTTCAGACCAGCACACCCATGAGTCCACAAAGTTGCGCAAATGGATTTGCTATTTAAACAACGTGGCGCAAAATGTAATACTTACTGTTGTGTTGGTCTGAAAATAGCAACAAATCGTGCCAAACATATCTTGTGCCTTATTGCGCCAGGTGTATGCTAGGGCTATTCATTTTTCACTCAGACGATAAATCATTTCTTACACTTGTATGATTGGATTGTTTCTGTTTTGTTTCTTGCAGCCCCGTACACAATCATCACGTTCCCGTTCCTGTTTGCTGTCATGTTTGGGGACATGGGGCATGGCGTGCTGATGACCTCTGCTGCGCTTTACCTTGTCCTTAGAGAGACCCGTCTGCTTGCTCAGAAGAGTGACAATGAGGTCTTCATTTATCAATGATTAACACATTACACACACAAAAATATACAACACCAAATTTGCATTGAAGATGTTAGTACATATCTAAATGTTAACACTGCAGGTTTAAGCGATTACACTCATAACATTGATGACTTATATAGTCATTGACTTAAATAGACAGAAAATGATTAGCCTTACTTTTTCAAATATTTCCCAAGTGCGGTTAAAGGTGCAGTAGGTGATCTGCCAAAATGCTAACCGTTAGCATAATAGCTTTGAAAACACAGCACAAGACGTCTAGAACGTCTTCACAGAACATCCTTGTCTGTGTGAACATTGCTTTTTTAATTTAATTACTGGTAAAGTCGTTTTGGAAATTTTTCTGATATACCTGTATCACTGTGTGAGTACTAATCATACTCTAAAATCTCTTTCATCTGGCGTGTGTGTGTAGATGTTTAACATGATTTTTGCTGGACGTTACATCATTCTACTGATGGGGATGTTCTCAGTCTACACCGGGCTCATCTATAATGACTGCTTCTCAAAGTCCCTCAACATGTTCAGCTCTGGCTGGAGTGTTCGACCCATGTTTGCACCTAATGGAAACTGGACGTAAGTTTACAACTTCTCAACAACAAATAGGGTATACACCGAGCTAGTGTTTTTCCCATGCTGATAAACTTCCGGTGTGCTGTTATTGTGAGTTTTTATACGGTTCCTTTTACAGCATCGATGTTGTAATGTAATTCAAATACAATCAGTTAAATAGACATTGGCATTTATTTAGTTGCTCAAGCGTAAAACAAGGCAAAAAGCTGTTTACTCGCACGCACCCGTCAGAATCGGCAGGCTAGCGCAGAAGCTCCATTGAATTTACCAGGGTAAAATAAATGCTCATATTATAGAGATATGGTGGGGAAAATGTAATTTAATGCAGCGCTTCTTGGACAATCTGAGACCCACTTTATATCGGATATTACACAGCCAGTTGAGATCGCTGATTTTTAAAGAAAACAGATCTTAAACGCGCCGATTTTACAATGGCATTCAGTTCACCGGAAACGATTAAACCAGGTTAATTGCAAATTAAAAGTCCTATTAGCATGCTTCGGCATACACCCTATTGGTAAAACATCAGAACAAAATGAAAAAAACTCCAGTCATGTAGTCATTCTTTTACTATTCAGAATAAAAAAAACGACAAAACAGCTTAGAGATTTTTTTTAACGTGTAATGTTACACAATGCTTATAAATGATGAAATACTGATGCACATTTACCTGTTTATGAATTTAATATTCTTCTGTTTTGTATGTTTTGTAGGGACCAGACTCTGGAGAGTAATTCAGTTCTTCAGTTAAACCCGTCTGTTTCTGGCGTGTTTGGTGGCCCGTATCCTCTCGGCATCGACCCTGTATGAATCATACAAAAACACTCACACACAACACACACCCTGGTTTTATCTTTGTCATCCTGCTAATGTAGATGTTAGGACTAAAGCAGCCTATATTCATTTACACTGAAGAGCGGCAGGTCTGCTTTTTAACTACTGAGAGATTTGAGCTGCTGTCTGGGCTATCCATGCCTTTTTACACCTCCCTTTCTTCATGTGTTCAATACTTTTGTCCCTCTGCTGTGTCTTTTTATTACACATAACTTAATTTCTATAGAAAGTAAATTTGCTTTCTTTGTTTGTATGAAGTATTTTGACATCTGGTGAAAATTTCAAGTCCTTTAGAAATATATTTTCAGAGAAAAATGGTGCCGTCTTCAGTACTTCATTTCTATAAGCAAACATCAACAAATATAAAATAGCACAAACAAGACTATCCTTGTGTACTTTTGTCCTCTAGTTAATTGGTAATGTAACAGATGTCCATAATGCAGTTTTCTTATAATCATCTTTTAAGCTTAATAGTAAAATGAAACTGTGTGTATGTGCTACCAATTTTCCTCCATTAGATCTGGAACATTGCCGCAAATAAGCTGACGTTCCTGAACTCCTTTAAGATGAAGATGTCTGTGATTCTGGGTGTCATTCACATGCTGTTTGGAGTCACGCTGTCCCTCTTCAACCACCTGTAAGTGCGTGTTCATATGTGTGTGTTAAGTAACTAGTGTTTCAATTACTGCAGCTTTTTCCATGTGTCTCACAGATACTTTAAGAAGCCTCTGAACATTTTCCTGAATTTCATCCCTGAGATTGTGTTCATGAGCAGTCTTTTCGGTTATCTGATCCTGCTCATCTTCTACAAGTGGATCGCTTATGATGCGGTGACCTCTAAAGACGCTCCCAGTCTTCTGATAGCCTTCATCAACATGTGTCTGTTCAACTACAACGACCCCACCAACAAACCGCTGTACAGAGGACAGGTAACACACATTAACGCAAAACAGAAGTTGTATTAATAGATCATTCTTGTTATATGCAGTTTGTACAAATATCAGAAGTTCAGTAAATTTTTCACTCTTTGTTATATTGCAGCCTTTTGCTAAAACAATTTCAGTTTGTTTTTTTCCCTCATTAATGTACACACAGCACCCCATATTGACAGAAAAACTCAGAATTGTTGACATTTTGCAGATTTATTAAAAAAGAAAAACAGAAATGTCACATGGTTTTAAGTATTCAGACCCTTTGCTCAGTATTTAGTAGAAGCACCTTTTTGATCTAATACAGGCTTGAGTTTTTCACACCTGGATTTGGGGATCTTCTGTCATCCTCTTGCAGATCCTCTCCAGTTCTCTCAAGTTGGATGGTAAATGTTGGTGGATAGCCATTTTTAGGTCTCTCTATCGATGCTCGATTGGGTTTAAGTCAGGGCTCTGGCTGGGCCATTCAAGAGCAGTCATGGAGTCGTCGTGAAGCCATTCCTTAGTTGTTTTAGCTGTGAGCTTAGGGTCATTGTCATATCAGAAGGTAAAGCTTCGGCCCAGTCCTTAGCACTCCGGAGAAGGTTTTCATCCAGGATATCCCTGTACTTGGCCGCATTCATCTTTCCCTCGATAGCAACCAGTCATCCTGTCCCTGCAGCTAAAAACACCCCCACAGTATGATGCTGCCACCACCATGCTTCACTGTTGGGAGTGTATTGGACAGGTGATGAGCAGTGCCTGGTTTTCTCCACACATACCTCTTGGAATTAAGGTCAAAACATTCTATCTTGGTCTCATCAGACCTGATGACCTTTTAGTAGAGGCTTTATAAAGCCCAGACTGGTGGAGGACTGCAGTGATGGTTGACTTTCTATAACTTTCTCTCATCTCCCGACTGGGTCTCTAAAGCTCAGCCTCAGTGATCTTTGGGATCCTTTTTACCTCTCTCACCAAGGAGGTTCTTTCCAATTGCTTAGTTTGGCTGGACAGCCAGCTCTAAGGGTTCTAGTCGTCCCTAACGTCTTTTATTTAAGGATTATGGAGGCCACTGTGCTCTTTTTGTAACCTCGGCCAGATCGGTGCCTTGCCAAAATTCTGTCTCTGAGATCTTTAGGTAGTTCCTTTGACCTCATGATTCTTATTTGCTCTGACATGCATTGTGAGCTGTAGGGTCTTATTTAATATTATCTAATCAAGTCCAACCAGTATAGGGTCTGAATACTTAGGACCTTGTAATTTTGCAGATTTATTAATAAAGAAAAACTGAAATAAGTCAACAATTCTGTGTTTTTGGGGTGCTGTGTGTACATTAAGAGGGGGAAAATTAAATGATTAAATGAGTTTAGCAACTGGCTGCAATATAACAAAGAGCGAAAAATTTAAGGCGGTCTGAATACTTTTCGTACGCACTGTATATGACTTCTGGCTGGATGAATAAAAGATGTTTGTCTGTGTGCGCATAGGCTGGGATTCAGTCTCTGTTGGTGGTGATAGCTTTAGCCTGTGTGCCAGTTATGCTGGTGGTGAAGACTATGATCCTGCGCCGTCAGCACTTGTGGAAGAAGCACCTGGTATGTTTATTTACTCAACCTTTATCTACTATATAAAGTATATCAATTGAGAGTGATTCACAAAGCTGCCGTTTTTGCAGAGATTATTTGAAAGCCTACTGAATATTAGTGTAACCAACACAATCTCACTGCAATTTATAACGTTTTGATTTGGTTTATTGATTGAGCTAATTCGTATTCGTTTGTGTGTTCTCATTCCTACAATTTGCTCATCCTCCAGTGAGGGCTTGGGTTAGGGGTGGGGTTTGTGGACGAAATTATTTAATTTTTGATCTTGACATTTCTGAATTAATATTCAATTTTCATCATTTCTACTTTTTATTTAGTCAATTATACAGTTGCATGTGCATTATTTTCGCTACCTGTTGCCAATGGCTTCTGCTTGTTCTCAAAGATTTAACTATATTTAACAAAAAAATTAAATAATTAAAAGAAGACATAATTTACACAGCATTATAAAATGATATGTTAAACTCTTATTCTCTGATATTGGGTGTGTTTTAAAATACTCAAATCAAGAATAGACCATTTCAATGTGGTCATGCCATTGGCCCATGGGCATTTCCTGCTTGTTATCAAACTATTTCATAACTGTAACAAGAGGCAATTCAATCATAACTTAATGTTTAAACAGCTATTACAGCATTATTTATTAATATGAGGCTTTTTTTGGATTCTCGGAAGTTATAGAAATTAAAAATGTAAAACAGGAAATACATCAGGAGTCTATTGTTTTTGTTTACATCCCTCAAAACATATCTGTGCTTATTTTTGCCTCCAATATGTTTTACATTTTAAATAAAATTGTAAGGCAACTTGCTGCACAGCTTTTTTTTAGTTGACTCAACTTTTTAATCCTAGTACTGTATACTGAAAACCCTAATAAGTTGACTGAATGAAATTAATTGAGTAAACTCGTTGCCTCAATTTAATTGAGGAACGGAATCTCCCAAAACTTGCATGTTTAAGTTTATTTAACTTGCCGGTGTGGTAGATATTACTTAAATTGTTCAGTTCAGTGTGTGTGTCTGTTCATGTAATTATATACAATGAAAAAATTGTTTAAAAGAAAAATAAGTAGCCATTTATTCCCATTATGATGAATAATTATACATGAAGTCTTGTTTCATGATTACAAAAAAGACTTTGCTAAAAGGTTGCACATATTAAAATTAACATTATTAACATATTAATAAAATTAACATTTTAAAAAACAGTCAAGACTACATTAAAAACAACCCCTTTTTTTTCAAAGGATTAGTTGTGATTTTGAGCTTACTATACTTGAAATCTTAAATTTATGCATTTTCATTGTATATAAGTTAAAATAACTCATATTTTCAGGTTACAGGAGTAATGTTAAGTCAACTTTACTTGATTGTTTAGGTTAAGACAACATTAGGGTTTACAGTGTGTGTAGTTGACCTAATTTAAGTTGAGACAACTCAGAATTGTGGCTTTACAATTTATGTTTCCCGAGTATTTTTGCTTTTACAGGGAACTTCATCACTGGTCAGTGGCTTAAGAGAATATTTTACGAGCCAGAAAATTAAATGCTTTGGCAAGTTATTTACTCACAATGTAGAGGGTTAAGTGTAATGTTGAATGCAAAGTTTGTTTTGTTTGATGAAAGTTAAAAGTGCTACACAAATGTTAGTAGACATGACGAACAAAGAGGGTTTGCACTGTTACAGACTGTGAGCTTTTGTGTTTCCTCAGATATTTTTAACAGCATGCCATGGGATAAAACCAAGTACACATTTTCTTTATAAATGTATGTCTGTCCATATAGATTGATAGGGTAGAATCATAGAATTGATGGTTTTCTTTAGGGCTGCACGATATTGGAAAAATATGATACTGCGATATTTTATTTTTTTACAGTAAATATTGCAACATGAATACTGTTTCACAAGATGGTTGAATAAGTCAATTTCACAGTTTTCTTGGAAATCTAATAGTATTCATGTACAAAAAAATTAATCATCATAATGCAAAAATGCTTTTCTTACTTTTTGTTTCCTTTTTAGACCAAATATCTAAAAAATCTTAGATCAAGTAAAATATATAGTTTTAGAAATAAGTCAAAATGAAGAGCTTTTCCTTAAAACAAGCAACAAATTATCCGCCAATTGGGTAAGTAAAATAATCTTGCTTTTACTTCGAGATGTGGATATTTGGACTAGAAACAAGACAAAAATTGTGTATAAATGATTAAAAACTATCTCCAAACATCATCATTTTTTGTACCTAAATGTTCTAAACTCTCTTGAAATGCATTAAAAATACATGAAAACTATAAACCATCACTGTATTATGGTTAAGCTTAGCAGTGACTAAGTGTAACAGTAATTCAGATTCAACATTGCATATTGTGACTATTGCGGATGTGCACATTGCAATATCGATGATGAAACTATATATTGCGCAGCCCTAATTTGCATACTCTTTCTTGGTTTGAAAGAGACAAATGTGGCTCTTCCCATTGGGGCACCTACCATGCTAGATGCCATGAAAGATCATTTTGAATAGTTAAAAAAGAGGACCCTTTTTAAAATAGCACATTACCTGATGATTGATGCTGATTTTATTACTTGTTTTTGCAAAATAGTATTATTTTTAGAATAAACGTTAATAAAATATAATAATAATAATATAATATATAATTATATAATAATATAATATAAATATAAATAAATGTATATATAATATAATATAATATAATATAATATAATATAATATAATATAATATAATATAATATAAATATTAATATAATATAATGTAATATAATATAATATAACATAATATAAATAATATAATAAAATAATATAATATAATATAATACTATAGTAATAAAATTACTCAAATAAAAAACATGTGTTGTATTTTTTTTTACCATAAAACTTGAAACACCTCTGAAGTTTTTATTAAAACATTTTAGGGCCCAAAATCATGTTTAAGTTTTAATAGACGTTAATGTGAAGGCCTAAAGTGGGAATAGAACTTAAAGTGTGAACTGAAACTGAACGTAAAGAGACTCAGACAATATAGTGTATTATAGTTTAAATTTACATTAAACGCAGCTTAAAGCTGTAGACGTTTACTTGAGGAAACAGGTTTGATTAAGAGCTCCTCTGTTAGACATTTTGGTCACACTTTACAATAGGGTTTCTTTAGCCAGCACCTAACTAAACTTTATAGGTTTCTCATGAACCTCCTAGGTAGGACTAAAGTCATTTTTATGTCATTTTAGTTACTTTCATTGTCTGAAAAATTAACTGTAATGTGACAACAAGGTAAAGTACTAAACAACTTCTAAGGGTAAACAACTAAAATAGACTATAATCATAAAAATATGAAAATATAGTAAAATAAAATATATATTTAAGATATTTAAGTTACGATTTAGTACATACAGATGAAGTCAGAATAATTAGCCCCCGTTTATTTTTTCCCCCAATTTCTGTTGAACGGAGAGAAGATGTCCGCAACACATTTCTAAACATGATAGTTTTAATAACTCATTTCTAATCACTGATTTATTTCATCTTTGTCATGATTACAGTAAATAATATTTGACTAGATATTTTTCAAGATACTTCTATACAGCTTACAGTGACATTTAAAGGCTTCTCTAGGTTAATTAGGTTAACTAGGCAGGTTAGAGTAATTAGGCAAGTTATTGTATAACGTTGGTTTGTTCTGTAGACTATCAAAAAATATATATATAGCTTAAAGGGGCTAATAATTTTGACCTTTTTAAAAAAATTACAAAGACTTTCTCCAAAAGAAAAAATATTATTAGACATACTGTGAAAATTTCCTTGCTCTGTTAAACATCATTTGTGAAATATTTAAAAAAGAAATAAATAAATAAATCAAAGGGGCGCTGTATATTGTATATTTTTACAAATAGTTTCTCTACATATGTTTACATGTGTGTCAACAAATTAAAATGTTTTTATTTTTTAAGCACAAGCAAATAGTTAAAACAGTGATTTAAATAGTATTTTAAAATCGCCATGAAATGGAAGTTAAGATCCGTTTTCTGCTATCGTGACATACGTCCACTTGAAACCATCCTGAAATTAGAGAAGAATGTAGGGTGGTGCATGATTTTGGCCTTTGTAAACTGATTGGATTGTTGACTATGAAGACTATATTGATAGTATAGATAGTATACACTATATAGACTACTTTGAAATGAAGGAAGAATGGTCGAATTTAGAGCAGAAACGGGACACCCACTAATATCATTGCCATACTGGAATTCCATGTAAAAAAGGAAGTGAAGAAAAGTCATGTTTGAGGGAGAAGGTTATGTATGGTACTGTATTTGATTTAAGTTTATGAGGGCAAATTAATTTGAACAAATAATGAAGTGCACAGATACAACATTTATTACAAGAACAATCATATAAAGTTGAGGGCCAATGTATTAGCTCTCCTGTGTGATTTATTTATTTATTTTTTGTCTTAAATGGATTAAAAAAGTTTTCACAGTATTTCCAATAATATATTTTTTTTTTTATGGAGAAAGTCTTATTTTTTATTTTGGCTAGAATAAAAGCAACCTTAAGATTTAAGGTCAAAATTGCTAGCCCCTTTCTGCTCTCCATTAAACAGAAATTGGGGGAAAATATAAAAGACTAACAATTCTGATTTCAACCCATTCATAAAAATATAATATAAATATATTTAATGCATAAATATATGCGTTTAAATCAATATATAAATAAAAAAACATTGATTTCATGGCAACTTTAACATCAGATATTTTATATGACATCTTTCCAAAGTGCACTTATAGATAAAAAAGAACGATATTTCTTTACTATTTTCTCAAACTCAAGGGGTTCTAATTTCTTTCTTCTGTTTAACATGAAACAAGAAGTCAATAATGCAGAATGCTGCCAAACAGCATTGACAACCATAGTAGAAACAAAAAACACTACGGGAGTCAACAGAGGATTTTTTTCAAAGAAAATCCACTAAAAAGGGTCATAATTCCCCTTAAAACCAGTTCTATGAGATCAAAAATAAACAAATCGATAAATTATACACTGTCCCGTCTTTGGTAGGTGCCTCAAGCAGTTATACCAAACACAGCATATACTCAAACGCCCATGGCATGCTGATAGCCACACAGACCTTGTTTGTATTTAGTCCCAGATGAGGGATGCAAGACCTGCAGAGAATCTAGAAACTTTAGAGCAGACAGGCACCAGCTCACCCCCCGGACTCACCCAACAGGGCACACAGAAGTTCGGTGGCGTCCGGGTCGGAAATGGGCCTACGGAGGACGAGGCAGAGATCATTGACCATGACCAGCTCTCACAACACTCAGAGGAAGGTGATGAGGTGAGTGTCGGTTTTACAGAACACAGTGAATTATATGTCAATTACTGTACTCTTTGAAAGTCACTAAGGCTGCTTTATTTGATGAAAAGTAAAGGTAAAACTGTAGCAATGTGAAATATTGCAACAATTTAAAATGTGTTTTATTCAACGCTATCTCACGGCAATTCGTAACTTTTTCATTTAGTGGCTGATTTGTACGATCTCATTTGTATATTTTAGTATGATTTGCTCATCCCCATTGTCGTTTGGGTAAGGGATTGAGTTTAAAAATCTGTTTAAAAATCTTATATTTTTGTACGTATGAACTTTTAACTGACAAAACCTAAAATAGTTACGTTTCCTCATGATATTAGGCTGGATTTACGGATTATAAAATTATTTGTGGCATAAGGCCTGCTTAAATGGGAATTTGCTGCTTATGTTTGTAATGAGGCAACAAACACATGGAAAAAGTGTTGTGTTCAAAAGCGTTAAATGCACGTTTAGACATTCTGTCATATCACTTAGCTCTTACTGTGCTTTTTCTTGAGTAAAATGATGTCTTAATAAACATTATGAGCAGCATGAGTTTGTATGAATTTTTCCTTGTGTGATCAGACTGGTTTTACTCATTTTTAAAATGTAATGTCATGACTGAACTCTAGCAGTTGTTATTCCAGTTTTTAGAGTCACATTGTCCTTACTAAAACCATTTTAAAGGTTAATTCGCATTGTACTGACAGATGAAAATGGAAGTGGAATGTAATTTCTCAGACATAACCTGGCGATTTTACAGACATTAGTTTGGACTCTGAACACATCTAAATCTTAGAGCTCTCTCACCCTCCATAGACAGCAACAGTCCATAATATTCAAAGTCCAGAAGAGCAACCAAAAACAACGTGCCTTCCATGTGACTTCAGTGGTTCAGCTGTAATCATACAAAGCTTCAAGAGCACTTTTATCCACCAAAAACTGTAAAAAAGACATTGTTCACCGTCTTCCCCATCAGATCAGAGTGTGTGTGTTTACTATGGGAAATGTGCTGCTTGCTCTTTGCACTGACTCGCAGAAGAGAAGAGATTTTTGCTGCTATACAAAAATGTTTTTGGAGCTTCATATTATTTAAGTTGAAGTCTCAGGACTGTTGCTGTCTATATAGAGGGTTAGAGAGCTCTTGGATTTCATCTAAAATAAATTATTTATATTATTTTTATTATTATAATATATTACATCTTAATTTGTGTTCTGAAAATGAGTGAGGGCCTCAGGGGATAAATACAACATGAGGGTGAGTAATTAATAGTAGAATTTTAATTTTTGAGTAAACCAATCTTTAGAAAATAATCATATTAACCATTATTAATAGATTGAGCACCAACAATAATCACTAACAACAGTAAATCAGCAATAAATCAGCATTTTACAATGATTTCTGTGGGATCGTGTGCACTAAATAATGGCATCATTAAAACAATGGCTTCAAATTTAGTTAAAATAAATTAATTACATTTAAATAGATTTTATTAGAAATCTATTCTTTTAAACTGTAATAAAATATTTAAACAACATTTGCCATTATTTGCAATTTTGATTAAGAAAAGAATATGCTTTGTTAAGAAATAGAGCAAAGCATATCTCAATTATTTCACAGTTTTCACTGGCAGGGTGCAAAAAACATCCCATCAGAGATGGTGAAGTGTAAAACATTACATAATAAAAAGTCATGACAACATACGTTTTTGTTACTTTACCTTCATTTAAAAAAACTAATTAGGTTTTAGCGTGATGTTTTAAGTCAGCCTTATTGATGTAATAATAATAATAATAATTCCTTACATTTATATAGTTCTTTTCTAGACACTCAAAGCTCTTTACACCTTGTGGGGGGATCTCATCATCCACCACCACGTTTAAATTAAAATGACTTGTAAAGTTAAATTAAATCAACTTAAAAATGTAAGTGAGCAACGTATTTTTTACAGTGTAGATGTTTGGTGGCACACAGAAAAACTCTACACTGACGATTTCCTGTGTTGTAATTTTAGTGCAGTGAGATCATTTTTAATGGAAAAGATCTCATACTGTATAATGCTGCAACTCAAGCTAGTCTATTTTGTAACTGCTTAGGCAAAAGAGACCGATTAAATGACACTTAAGCAATTTGTCATCCCACAGTGATTCGAGAAATGTAAACAGAGGAGTAACTCCTCAGCGAGACCCTGTGAGCCTGACTCACCCGCTCCAAACATACCCACCGCTGGAATGTGCAAAATATTTTCATCCCCTGTCAACTTTTGACATTGCCCTGAACCGTCTGTTCCATCATGTGCTGAGCGAATAGAAAAAGAAATACAAATAATGAAGAGAAAAAAAAAACACTTGAATGAATTTGGTAGCACAGTGTTTATTCAGGGTCAGTCTTATGAAATGTGTCATGAATATTTCCAGGTCATATGTCCCAGAATCCTTCTTACTTTAAAAATATTATAAAAAATTTGTTATATAGTGTAGTATTTTGAGATTTAGCCTGCTAGATGTGTATTGTGGGCAATACCTGTACACATTTGTTTTAATTGCAACCAGGTTTAATGCAGATACGTACTCAGGTTTACATTTCTGTAGACAGCGAAATACGTAACTGGAGCTACGTCTGCTTGCAGTTTTTGCATATCTGTCAAGCGCTATGTACGCTTTTTGATGATCTCAAATTTATCTCACGCATCCTCTTCTCACTTAAATCCACTATAGGGGCGCAATATACACTTCAGCCGACTAAGGGTGCATTCCCGAAAACCATTGTTAGCCAACTAAAGTCGCAAGTTGTGTCGTTACAAACATAGATCGTTGATTTGGCGTTTCCCTAATCTATCGTTCCATAAAACATTTGCAAACTGCTGTAGTTAGAAGCAGAGCTCCTGGCTGTGTTCTATTCTCAGTTATCCCCCTATGCCCTGTTCATTTAGAACATTCTAACATTTAAACTTTAAATAATTCTTTTTAAAGCATTAAAGTCATCACTCTTAGGTGTAATTTGCTTTCAAAGTATTTTCACAGTTCAGTTTTAGCGATCTTCATGTTTACAATTGCTCATTGATGACATTTTGAACACAGCCGTGGCTCATGACGAAAGCTGTGGGTGACCTATTATTTAAAAGCGGAATGTACGTTACGTCTCCAAGCTAGTGAAAACAAAAAACACAGCATATGTTAATGCTTTTAATTTATTGTATTTATAAAGTATCTATTTATAAAGTAGCTATTTATCAAGTAGCTGTACTGTAAATGACATGGGCCTGTTGGTTAAAACATTACTGCAGTGGTTTGAATATTTCCAATTGAAAAAAGTAGACTTTTAAAATAACAAAAAATAAACAATATTCTACTTAATAATAATAATTATAATCATCACTTCATCACGTTTTTAGCCTGTTGTTTCTTTATATATATATATATATATATATATATATATATATATATATATATATATATATATATATATATATATATATATATATATGTAGACAGGGGTATGTATCCACAATGAGCCTTTGTTGTTTAATTTGGTACTATTAATTTACTGTAAAAAAAATATCTGTTAATTAACAGTTTTAGTTTTGTGTGTATTTATGGTTGTGAATTACATTAAGGTACCTTGATCTCTGCAGTTTACAAATGACCTAAGTGACTTTTATTATTTTATTAGTTTTAGTAGTTTATAATAATATAATGCATAAGAAATAATATATAGAGAACTGAGTCTGTAAAATAACGGAAAATATACTAGCTGTTTATTACAAGGTTTTTGTACCATAAAATACAGCTCCAACCCAGACAAAATATCACTTTCAACTATTAAAAATGTTAATAAAAGTCTTTTTTTTTTTTCAAGGTTAAAAGTTGCTGGAAGAAAGATCCAGGTCCCATAAAGCAATTCAAAAGCATAAATAAACAGGAAAAAATAGGAACATGAATCACAAAATACAGAACATTGCTAATTTAGGGATATTTTTTAAAGTGTAGTGTCATCACTATTGTTAACATGTGGTCTGTATGAAGCAGAAAGTTAGCCATATGATGATTCCATCATTCTGGAAAGCACTATATGTTTTGAAACTTTGTTTGAAGAAGTAATAATTTATAACCATCCGAATTGAATCTTTATACAATTTATGATTATGAGTGAAATGATGAGTTATAACTGAGGTGCAGATCTGTGGTATTATCCACACATGGCAGCAATTGTCGGTGGTGAAACAGGATTGCGTAGATCCTCGTCTGCTGAGATTGAAAAAATTTAATATGAGTGCAAAAACAAAGGCAGGATTCAGCATGCACATTTCAGAACATTATACCGCAGCGTATCAGTGTAAATACCAGAAAACACAAACACTTCGCACACCTGTTTTCTAACAGATTGCTGTCTTTCTTTGTCTGTTATATAACCTTTGACCTGCCTAGCCTTATTATTGATAATATATCTTGCTGTAAAATTTCTAATTGTATTTGAATTGTCTATCTAAAACTCTGCTTTTTACTTTTCAAGCATTCAGAGGAAGAACCGGTAAGAACTTTTTCTGTATTTTAACTTTTGTTAACACACGATCTTTCTCACATATCATTTATGAGTGAAAATGATTTATTATAAATGTTTTATTTAAGCACAAGTTACGATTTATTCAAATTAACAGCTTCTAATAGATTTCAAATATGTTCATAATAATAATAAAATCTAATTCTACCAGTAATAAATGAACATAAACTATCTGCTGGCCCTTTCAGTAAAGCTGTTACTCTCACTTAAATGTCACTTCGGAAACGAAAGCACATAATCAGTACCTGAGGTTATCATTGTCGTAGCACTTATTGAACTTGTTTCAGCTGCGATGGATGGTTAGGACTAAAACTTAAATTGACATAGAAAAGATAGCATTTAGTGGGAGCACAGTGGCTCAGTTGTTAGCACTGTTGCCTCACAGCAAGCAGGTCACTGGTTCGAGTCCAGGCTGAGCCAGTTGGCATTTCTGTATGAAGTTTGCATGTTCTGCCCGTGTTTATGTGGGTTTCCTCCGGGTGCTCCGGTTTCCCCCACAGTCCAAAGACAGTTAGTATAGGTGAATGGGGTAAGCAAAATTGGCCGCAGTGTATGTGTGAGTGTGAATGTATGGGTGTTTCCCACTACGGTGTAGCAGTTGGAAGGGCATCCGTTGCATAAAACATATGCCAGATTAGTTGGCCATTCAATCCGCTGTGTCAACCCTTGATAAATAAGGGACTAAGCCGAAGTTTTTGGAAGGGCATCCGCTGCGTAAAACATATGCCAGAATAGTTGGCGATTCATTCTGCTGTGGCAATACCCTGATAAATAAAAGACTAAGCCGAAGGAAAATGAATGAATGAATGAATAAAGATAGCATTTAACACATCACACAATGTGTTGTGAGTAGTTCACTGTGCAAGTGAGGTCGTTAATTCTGCTGTTACAAATAGGTAATATCATTTCACATCATGCTACTGAATTAACACTCATGAATGTAAACTATGCACTCTGAGTCACTCTGTAGCCTTGGTCTTTAGATATCCTCTAACACACCTCTGCGGTAGAACAATAAGAGTAATGCGCCAAGTTTTCCATGATGGCTATTGAGCCATTCAGCACTCTCAACGAAAGAAACAAAAGTGGAAAAGGGAAGCCAGCCCCTGCCAAACATAACTTTACAAGACTTTACAAGTGGGAAGATTACGTCCTGTGCTTTTCAGAGGAAACTCAACTGATGTAAATGTTCCCTATATATTATTAATATATTATGTACATATATATACATACATATATACAGTTGAAGTCAGAATTATTAGCCCTCCTGAATTATTAGACCGCTTGTTTATTTTTTACCCAATTTCTTCAACACATTTCTAAACATGATAGTTTTAATAACTCATTTCTAATAACTGTTTTATTTTTTATTTTTTTATACATCAAATATTAGTATTTTACACTAATATTTCACTCTGGCTGCAGTTTTTTCTGAGTTACCTTAGTATGAATGGTCATATAATGTTTGCTTTTACATCAAACATTTGTAACAATTCAAGCAAATAATCCAAAGGTTAAATATGCAAGTCATTTGTGTCAATCTTTTGAATAATCCAATGTAGAATTAAGGTTAGAGCTCCAAATAAGCATACACTCAAAAAATTATTATTATTATTATTATTATTAATATTATTATTATTATTATTATTACTATTATTATTATTCCCAACGCATACTCTGCGTAAAAGCTGAATTAGTTGGCAGTTTATTCTGCTGTTGCGACCCCTGAATAAATTTTTATTATTATTATTATTATTATTATTATTATTTTGCTGCTTGTTTAAACTTACTCCCAAGGCTGTTTTTATCAAAGTTGATATTTAGCGCACCATGTTGGTGTTTCGTAATATGTTATTTTTTACGAGGTGGGTCGTTAGCTTAACACTAAACCTTCAACCTAGCGGACCAGGACATACACACATGCACTACGGATAATTTAGCTTACCCAATTCGCCTACAGGGCATGTCTTTGGACCAGAGCACCTGGAAGAAACCCACACAAACACTGGGAGACTATGTTTGTTTGAACTACTTATTTAAAATGAGCTGAAACAACACAATTCTTAAGTTATTTTAACTTAATTGTTGGCCACTTAAATTTGCCAAAACCAATTCACTTAGTGAAGTTTATTTATAAACTAATTTCGAGAGGAGCATGAGCTTATGATTGATCATTAACTAATGCATGATTCACCAATCAGATGGTTTTTAACTCTAAAAAATAACCAGAGTTTCGTACTTTAGTTATCTTCGCCTTGAAGAATCCCCCCTTCCACCCTACTCTTCCACCTTTCCCTTTACAGAGCGGCATGGTGGCACAGTGGTTAGCACTGCTGCCTCACAGCAAGAACATCACTGGTTCAAAACCTTAACAGGCCAGTTGTCGTTTCTGTGTGGAGTTTACATGCTTAACAGGCCAGTTGTCGTTTCTGTGTGGAGTTTACATGCTTAACAGGCCAGTTGTCGTTTCTGTGTGGAGTTTACATGCTCTCCCCGTGCTTTTGACTTCGGGATCCTACATTCATTACCCTTTCCTTTTTTTTCTGCAGTTTAACTTTGGAGACATGGCTGTTCATCAGGCCATTCACACTATAGAGTATTGCCTGGGCTGCATCTCCAACACGGCCTCATACCTGCGACTCTGGGCCCTTAGTTTGGCTCACGCTCGTAAGTGCGCACACACACATATACACGCTTGTTTTTGTGAATTGTGAAGACATTCCATACACTAAATAAAGTAAAACTACTGTGTTGTTCATTCAGTGTAAATGTAAATTTGGTTTCCCCTGGGCAGAGTGAATGTTTTGATTAATATTAAATGACATTTTTCAGGATCAGCCAAGTCCATTTTAAAACAAATACTTCATTGATCTAAGAGTAAAAAAGTTTTTCCATATTAAAAATTTCCTTTGTGCACTCACAGGCCACTTTATTAGGTACAGCTGTCCAACTGTTCTGTTAACGCACATTTCTAATCAGCCAGCAGTTGAATGCATTTAGGCATGTAGACATGGTCAAGACGATGTGCTGCAGTTCGAAACGAGCATCAGAATGGGGAAGAAAAGTGATTTTAGTGACTTTAAATGTGGCATGGTTGTTGGTGTCAGACAGGATGGTCTGAGTATTTCAGAAACTGCTGATCTACTGGGATTTTCACGCACAACCATATCTAGGGTTTACAGAGAATGGTCCAAAAAAGAAAAAAAATATCCAGTGAGTGGCAGTTCTGTAGGTGCGAATGGCTTGTTGATGCCAGAGGTCAAAGGAGAATGGCCAGACTAGTTGAGCTGATGGAAAAGCAACAGTAACTCAAATAAGCACTCGTTACAACTGAGGTCTGCAGAAGAGCATCTCTGAACATATCCAACCTTGAGGCTACAGCAGCAGGAGACCACACTGGGTGCCACTATTGTCAGCTAAGAACAGGTCAGTGAGGCTACAATCGCACAGGTTCAACAAAATTGGACAATAGAAGACTGGAAAAATATTTCCTGGTCTGATGAGTCTCGATTTCTTCTTGACATTTGGATATTAGATTCAGAGATTGGCGTCAACAACATGAAAGCATGGATCTATCCTTGCTGTATCAACAGTTCAGGCTGCTGTTGTAATTATGTGCTGGATATTTTCTTCGCACACTGTGGGCCCATTTGTACCAATTGAGCATCGTGTCAACTCCACAGCCTACCTGAGTATTGTTGCTGACCATGTCCATCCCATATGGCCACAGTGTACGCATCTTCTGATGGCTACTTTCAGCAGGATAACACACCATGTCATAAAGCTTGAATCATCTCAGACTGGTTTATTGAACAGTACAATGAGTTCACTGAACTCAATGTTCTCTACAGTTACTAGATCTCAATCCAATAGAGCACCTTTGGGATGTGGTGAAACAGGAGATTCACATAACAAATGTGCAGCTGACAAATCTGCAGCAACTGCGTGACGCTATCATGTCAGTATGGACCAAAATCTCTGATGAATATATTCAGTAGCTTGTTGAATTTATACCACGAGCGATTAAAACAGTTCTGAAGGGAAAAGGGAGTCCAACCTGGTACTAGTGAGGTGTACCTAATAAAGTGGCCGGTGAGTGTATGTTGAATGTAAATATTTTGGATCTGAATTCAATTGTACTTACAATACTTACAAAAATTGTCGTTTTTTTAAAGTCAGTTCCAAGTGTATTTTTTTTACATTGAAGGTTTCTATTGTTTTGATACTGTACAAGCTGTATTTTCTATCACCCTGCCACTCACAGAAAACTATGTGCATCCTTACTCTCTGGTAAAAATCATTCTGTATGATTTATAAACCTTTTAAAAAACTGGGCATATGTCCGCATATATCACCTTCACCTTGTAATATCTACAGTATGCATTGCCCATGTTGCTATACTAAATTGTGTCGTTATATGTCACAAAAACACACATATATCAACAGCACATCCACTGGCTTATTGAAATGTAACTGGATTTTTTGTCTCTATCAGAGTTGTCTGAGGTGCTTTGGGGAATGGTAATGCGTCTTGGACTGTCCTCTAGAAGTGGTGGGGGATTCTTTGGCTTGTCTATCATTTTCTCTGCCTTTGCAACGCTAACAGTGTGCATCTTACTCATCATGGAGGGATTGTCTGCCTTCTTGCATGCTCTGCGCTTGCATTGGTAAGACACAAACACACCTGGAAAGCTATGATTTATTTTGAACATACCTCAAAATCATCTATTTTCAAATCGTACCAATTTATCTGCAACACTTTCACTGATTTTATGAAACCTTTACTCTAATTTCAATCAAACACCACACGATAAAAGCTTATTTGCTAATTCAATTCTGCAGCCATTGAGCTTGCTTGCTCAACATGTAAAGGTGTTATATGTAAGTTGACTCTTTCAAAGGCATAAAAACCCTAATATGTTTCCAGATATTTAGGAAAATGATGAGGTAACATATTTAGGCAACACTTTACAATAGCAGTACATGAATAATGATGTATTAATATGTCAACTAAACATGATTAATGCATGTGCTAATCATGAATTGACTTTATCTACAATATGAGTCACATGAATTAATGTGTGAATAACGGATACCTTAATTACTTGTTAGTACATGCTGTCAACTAATGTATTAATTAACATTTAAGTTTAACCTAATGTAACCAACATAATGAGCTGTTAATGTATATTTGTCATGACTTTACTTGGAGGGGCACATCACCATTAACTCATCCTTAACTACTCATGAACTCCTGTGTTTAAACTGTTTATGTTGATGTTCACTGAACACTTTTCTATTGTTAGTGCACTTTTATTGTTAACGCACTTGACTGCCCACATAGTAAAATTTCTCTGGCCCACACAATCAGGTTTTGCTTGGCCCACATGCCGCAGTGAATTACGGTACATGACTGGACCAAATCTGGCTTCCAGACAAGGGCCAAACACAGACCATATCTGGGCCAAGTCTCAGCCAAGTTAATAACTCATAACTGGGCCTGAACTGGGCCAGATAGGTTGGTGTGTCACGATTGCAATGAAATTGATAAACCCATGGAGTGATGCGCTTTAGGCACACTATGGACACGCTTTTTCTCAAAGTGACCTGATTGGTAGAATTTTTTTTCTTTACTCAAAAATGATTTTAGTGTATTTTAAATGTGGGTCAAGACTGGCCAAACTCAAATGGCCCACTTATCAAATTTTTAAATACTACGTTTTTCATCTGGCCCAAATCTTGTGTGCCGCCTTAAAAACGGTGCCACCTCTGCCAAACCCGGGCCATGTTTGGCCCACATGCTGTATGCCAGTGGCGGATGAATGCCTGCTGTGCCAGCTTTTTGCCAAATCTGGGCCAAAATTCTTTGCTACTAGGGTGGTGTCCATAACGAGTTCATGAGTAGTTAGGAATGGGTTAATGATGAAGTGCCCCTACAAGTAGTCATGACATAATTATACATTAATTATACATTATTGTGAGTTCATGATGGTTAAATTAAGCATAAACTAATGTGGTAATTTATACAATAATTAACAAACAAACATTACTAAGACGTAATTAAGGTAGGCGTTAAAGTTAGTTCTTGGTTAGCACGAGCATTAACTCATTATTAGATCATAATAAAGTGATGTTTAGTTATTGTTATTGTAAAGTGTTACCCATATTTGTTTGTCTGAAAAACAATGCTGGCGGTTCATTCTGCTGTGGCGGCCGAAGATTAATAAAGGGACTAAGCTGAAAAGAAAATGAATGCATGAATAAATTAATGAACGAACGAACGAATAACAATGCTAAAGTCAGTTATTCTCCTTTGAAAATGTGCATTCCGTGTGGAATGTATGTCTTTGTTTGGATCTCCAAAACCCTGCCCACTCCCCCTTTATCCAATTATATTTCAGCACTCTGTGTTGTCTTGGTGGAAACAGCGTATTTAATTTCAGCCGTGAAGGCTGCTTCAATGTATGTTGCTGAAAATGTGAACTCCAGAGGATGGTAGCATCCTCTGAAATGAGACACAGATCAGAGGTATAAAAATACACATAAGGTGGTTTCAATTTGCAAACAATATAAATATTACTAATGTAAACATTGCAGCAGCTTATTTGTCTGTTCGCACCAGTTGCAACACGACAGAAACATTTAAATACCAGAGCCATTGCAGAATAATGCACTCCAACGAAATTGTAAGGTTTACAATCAAATTAATGCATATTTAACCTATTTAACATTATTAAAAGTACATTTAGAGTGGGTCACAGTTCCAAATTTCATTTTCAAACTTTATGTTTGCAAGTTTTGTTTAGTTTTTTGAGGTAAACTATCTGTTGCTGCTTTTAGTATCGCAATAAATGTCACATAAAATGGTATTCAAACTCACACTGGTAGCATTTAACACTGATTAAAGCATATAATTCAACACAGGCTCATTGTGAAAGCATACCCCCATATACATCTCTGGAGAATGCAAATTATGTAGCCAGAGCTATGTATGGCTGCATTTAATCTTTAAAGCGCTATGGGACAGTATGATGCCACCAATAGCTTCTGTTTCTTTCCGCTCACCTCCGATTGGACGACTTTTCCCGCTGTTACCAGTTTGCCCAGTAGTTCGCCGCGCATGTTGGTGAACTTGAGAAGTAGGGAGGAGTTAACTGCGATGATGGGGTTCGAGTCTGGTGAAGAACGGTTCCAGTAAGTAGGTAAAACAAAGAGAAAAGGCAAAAAATAAATAATCTAGTAAATAAAAGGGAGAGAACATGGTAAAATCTGAAAATGTGGTAAAAAGGGGCTGCAAGAGATTTTTCTTTTTCTGGATGGTATTTGAAAACACTAATGGTTGGGTTTAGGGAAGAGGATGGGTGGAGGGATCGGTCAGTCAGTCAGTCAGACTGGTGGTTTTACGCAATAGCATGCTCGAATGGCACTTGTGAGAGAAATTTGAGATCTGAAAAAGTCTACACAGTGTCCTCTGGTGGATTTTCGGGGGAAAAAATTGCATAAAAACGTACCTCTTGGAACATATTTTGTGATTTCCAGAAATTTATACAGGGGTACAATGAGCCTGTGTTTATGTCAGGATGTTGCAGAAAAAGAAACTAGAAACTGATAGCCCAGCAGTTAGTGCCACAAGATATAGCACAATATCGCATTGGGTGTCCTGAGTTCGAATCCCGCCTCTTGGACCTTTCCCGATCATGTCCTCCTCTCTCTTTTCTTACTGTCCTATAGGCAAAAATGTCCAAAATAATCATATACGGTGTATGTATAATTATGCACTATGTACCCTATAGTGTATAGCATAATATAAGTAGCACTACATGACTCTACACATTACATTTTGACATGATAGTTATAAGTTTGATGTTTTACTTGAAGTCACATTTTATCATGCAATAACTTACTGGATCTCACTGATTCAGTATTTCTCAAAAGTTGAGGTAAATATTTATAGAAAAAAGGTGGTATATGCACAAATACTGTACAAAACACCATGTTAACACACAGTTCAGTGAAAAAGCATTACATGTGAACTGTCAAATATTGATCATCATCAGCTCTTTACAATTTATGTTGAATATTTAACATGAAACTTTAAATGCTTTAAAGTTCTCCTTTCTAATCCGACCAATAGCTTATGACAACTACTTGTTATTTAATTCATATATTCATTCATTGCCAGGAGAGGTCATATACTGAAACACAGCTACTGCATGCTAAAGTCACAGCAAGAACAAGACTTTGAGGAAGAGGCGCTAATTCTAGCATTTCAATGTCATTCCCAGCCTGACTCATTCCGAATGCTTTCCACGTATGCCGCACACACAGATAGGTTGGAGGTAAATTAGGTTGTTTTTATTTGTTCCGTGTGCGGAAAGCAGAAAGAGTCTTTTCTCTCATGACTCAAATATGTACCACAGCAGCGAGACATTCCTCCTCTCTTAAATATTTCCATATCTTATGTATTTTTAAACTCAAAAGCAAGCTGTACATCTGGAATAAATGTTCCCTCTTTGTGTTAATTTCTCTTTTTTTCCCTTTTCCCTTCATTTATTGAAAGCTTCTGGGTCGAAGGCTTAAACGGAACATCATTTACTTTTTATCATATATTTTTAAAATTCGTTTTTAAACAATTCCATGTCATATAATCACTCACTCGCCGCTTTCTGATTGATTCCAAACGTTTGTATCTGACCATTACCTTGCTCAAAACCTCACCCTTCAGTTTAGAAATATGCTCTTTCAACTGCAAATCCAAACACTCTTATCTGAGGTCTGTTGATAGTGACGGAATGTGTGATTAGAGCTCCTTGCAACATAATGTTTTGGGGTAAACCTGGAGAAACTGAAAGGCAGATTTAGGGAAATACCTTAACTGTTTAACTTACTTAGCTTAAATGTATGAAAGTTTCTGAATTAAACCTTTAACATACAGTAAAATATGTTGAACGGGATACACTATATTTATTTACAAGCAGAGTATTACCTTATTATCTTTTTAACTGTTAGCATATACAGCATTCTTGTTTGTATATAAATGTATATGTTTTTTGCACTGACCATTCTAAGGACATCAATAGAGCTCTTATGTTTTTGTTTTACAGTCTGTTTTTTAATGTGTAACTTATAATTTTTCCGGTATTTAAAACTGATACTGAGGGAATTTAGCCGTTGTGTTTATCACAGTGGCAGCTGGTGGAATATTTGCTAGTAGGGCTGTACCACATCCTACAATTTTTAGGCAAACATTGTAGTATCGTTCAATGATAAACTATTAAACATAAAAAAATAACTGAATAAAATGTTAAGACTAGAGTTTGAGTGGTTAAAGAAGTAGTTGACCCATAAATGAATTACTGCATAACATCAACACAGGCTCATTCTGAAAATATAGCCCTAAAAACATTTCTGGAGATCAGGAATTATGTAGCCAAAGCTACGTATGCAACCCAGGCTCATTCTGGAAACGTAGCCCCGCGGACGTTTCTGGAGACCGCGAAATATGTCCCGGGAGTTAGGTATTTGTGCAGTTCTTGTTTTGGCAAATCCGTTCGCACCCGCACTGTTCTCGCGTAAAAATCTGATAGAGGCCGCTGTCGAGCGACCGTCTGTTCGACTGACTGAATGACTGAACGATCGATTGGCCGGCCGGCCGACCCACCCTCCTCTACGGGGCAGTGTGACGCCGTTCCTTTTTGTGCTTACTAGCTGACCACTTACCGCCATGTGGATGGCTTTTCCGCTGTTACCAGTTTGTCTGGTGGCTCATAGCGTACTTTAGTGGACTTGTGACCTAGAGCAGAGTTGACCGTGCAACTAAGGTTTGAGTTCGTCTAGGAATGGTTCCAGACAGCAAAAAAAAAAAGAAAAAAAAAAGGGTTAATTAACAGGGTGAGAATGTGGTAAGTCGGAAAACAAGGTAAGAACTGCAGCGAGTGCTTTTCATTTTCTGGATTGCTTTGGAAAACACTGTCGGTTGGGTTATGGGAAGTGGGTGATCAGGTCAGTCAGTGCTTTTGAAAACACTATGGGTTGGGTTTAGGGAAGGAGGAGCATGGGTCAGTTGACATCAGTTTACGTGAGAACAGCAGGCATTTGAAAAAGTGTACACAGCGGCCTCTGGTGGATTCGTGAAAACAAAAAATGCACAAAAACGTACTGCCTGGAACGTATTTTACGCTGTCCAGAAATGTATACTGGGGTACATATCAGTAGTGAGCCTGGGTTGCATTCCTCATATATCCAGACAGCCCAACCCGATTCTCACTCTTTCGCTTCACCACACTTCTGCTTTTCAGGAAATGAGCGTAACACACTGTGTGTGAATAAATATTCAAGTACAATGCCGTCAACAGGAATGCACAGCTGTTTTTGATATGAAATGTTCTGCTCTGACATTGGGTCCTTTGTCCTGCCTTTCCTGTCATTCAGGGTGGAGTTCCAGAACAAATTCTACACAGGACAGGGCTTCAAGTTTGTCCCGTTTTCCTTCGAGAGCATCCTAGAGGGTCGATTTGACGAATGAGAGCTACTAACCATCTGAAATCTGACCAATTCCCTTTCCTGCATGGATCCCATCTCGCTCTGTCCTCTGCAGAAGCAGTGCTGTCTGGTGAAGTGTTTGTAAAATGTGACCCCTGACCTCTAAATGCACCTTTTTCCAGAGTGCTTATTTGAGATATGTTGTGTTCTGTGAGCCTTTTTTCTAGATTTATGGCCCCACTTGACGTAACAGTCCCTCAAAGCAGCGTATTAACTATAATTGATGTTACATAATGTCAGATGGGTGAAAATCAAGCAGTGTGTAAAAAAAAAAAAAGCGTGTCCTCATAGTGACCTACTTTAAATACTTCGATTTTATCCTTATTGTCTTTGTCCACACAGATTTTTTTAAAGGGCACCTATTTGACCTCTTTTACAAGATGTAAGGTAAGCCTTTGGTGTCCCAGAATGTATAGTTTCACCTTAAAATACCCTTCAGATCATTTATAATATGCTAATTTTAGTGTCTGAGTACAGTGTAGCTGTTTTTTTAGCCTGTGGCTTTAAATGCAAATGAGTGGCTTTTCCCCACCCACCACTCCCATGTGCATGTCTGCTTCTGCTGCATAAGCATCAGATAAACAGCAGTCAGTGACAGAGACAGACACTACAATACAGCTCATTAGTCAGAAATACCAAGTAAGTTTATTTCATGTATTTGTGGTGGAGTTTATTCAAGCCTTTCTGAAAGGATGAGTCTCACACAAATGCCGTTTTTTGGTGGGCGGGGAAAACCGCACTCTTACATCACATTGCGGTGAGCCTCAAAATCCCTGTGATTTGGGTCATATTTTAAGGTCAGGAAATTTAAAAAAAGAGACTTGTTGTGTTTGTCCCTCCAGTATGACAGTGGACACACTATACATACACACTGCTCTGTCCAAACAGCTTAAAAAAAGATGATTTTCACCATTGGTGCCCTTCAAACAAATGTGGGGAAAAAAAACTCTTTATATAAAATACATTTATTTTAAAAATACCCTTGTCGACATCTTGCAAATGTAAATCTAAGTTATATCCTGCAGTTCAGAGTTTATATCTTAATTCTGAATATTTTTCCGTCAGAAAAATGAATTGGAAAAAGCTTTCATGCTTTTCAGTTGTTAGTAAACATCAGAATTATAAAAAATATATAACATATTAATTACAAATTATAACTTGCAATTTGTATCATATGAACTAATAATAATTGTATTATAAAGTCTGAATTGTGAGTTGAGTTTTTATTATTCTGAGAGAAACGAGCTACCATAAAATTGAGAATGAAAAGTTTAACAAATTATTTAGAATCAATATTAATATTACACACACAAAAAAAGCCTTATATAGATAAATATAAATATACAGATGTTTCAGAGCAATGTGAGGTCAAATTAAAAAATCTGATTGGCTATAACAAATATCCATGAATTTACATGAAAGTTTCACAGCAAACTAAAAAAACTGGATTCATCTATAACTGTTAGCAAGACTAGCCTATATGGTCATATTACATCAGTGTTGATGTTGATAAAATGTTGCACATTTTCCATGTCTTCTTAACAAAAGATCTAATTCGGATCATCAGCTCATTAGCAGAGACTGAAAGACCTGTAATGGGTGTAACAGACATTGGAGACATCCAAAATAAGCAGTGCTGGTGGTCCTCCAGCAACGTGGTTAAGAAACACTGTATTACATGATGGCTAAATCATTTCCCTGATAATGTCATTGTGATTTTCTTGTGTTTCTCCACAAGTCATTCTATTGTATTCATGTTGTTATGAAAGGAAAGATTCAGTTGATGGTTACAGGAATAATATCTTGTTAAATGTACTCAGTGTTGAGTTAAACAACTAGTCCCAAAATAGCAACATTTTACAAAAGATACCATCATGCTATTGAGTTAAAGATATCATTAAATATCATGAGGCAGCTAAAAGCGTACAGGGATCAGTGTCTGCTGGACTGTCTTGATCTGCAAGCAAAACATATCAACATGAAAATGAAAGGAAAATATTGAATTGATCTATTTATTTATTGCTGAGTTTATCAGTGTTGTGGTGTGGCAAGTGTTTTACGTGCAGAAAAGAGTGTTTGCATGAGTGAACATTTCAGTGAGACCGACAGAAGAGTCAAAGATGTTTGTTGTGAAATCCAGTTCCTCCAAATTCTGACAATTAAACATCAGAGGACAGTAAAGTCGTGTCAGTGTTTCTTTCTAAACCTCTTTGCTCTCATCAAATATACTGTACATTTCATCTTTGGTTATAAAGGTCTATTTTGTGTTGTGACATTTGTTAGAGGGGACCTATAATGCCCCTTTTTAGAAGATGTAAAATGACGTAAACAATAAAAATTTTGTGTATGTGAAGTTTCAGCTCAAAATACCACAAAAATAATTTTAATAACACTCTTTAAATCTGCCCATTTTGGACTTTGATTCAAATTGTGCTGTTTTGGTGACTGTTGCTTTAAATTCAAATGAGATCTTTTCAAAAGAGGGTGGAGCTATGCATGCCTATGTGTCTGCTTAAAGCTCTAATGGCAGACTGCTTTCACTAAGGACTGTCTATGCTAATGAGGGAGAAATAGTCACTAATGGGTGGGTTTTTCCCTCTCTAATGAAAGGGGGGAAATCAAAGTGTTTCTAAAGTGTGATTACATAAAGAAAAAAAATAGAATTAAGTAATTTCCAATTTAAAATTACTAATCAGCCAATCACATGGCACAATCAAACTTAATGCATTTAGGCATGTAGACATGGTCAAGACGATCTGCTGCAGATCAAACCGAGCATCAGAATGAGGAAGAAAGGTGATTTAAGGGACTTTGAATGTGGCATGGTTGTTGGTGGCACCTGGGCTCTGAGTATTTCAGAAACTGCTGATCTACTGGGATTTTCATGCACAACCATCTCTAGGCTTTACAGAGAATGGTCTGAAAAAGAGAAAATATCCAGTGAGCGGCAATTCTGTGGGTGCAAATGCCTTGTTGATGACAGAGGAGAATGGCCAGACTGGTTCCAGCAGATAGAAAGGCAACAGTGACCCAAGTAACCACTCATTACAACCAAGGTATGCAGCATCTCAGAACGCACAACACATCCAACCTTAAGACGGATGGGCTACAGCAGCAGAAGACCACAGCAGGTGCCACTCCTGGCAGCCAAGAACAGGAAACTGAGGCAAAAATTTTCTTGTCGGCTTAGTCCCTTTATTTATCCTGGGTTGCCACAGCGGAATGAACCGCCAACTTATCCAGCAAGTAAGTTTTTACGCAGCGGATACCCTTCGAGCCGCAACCCATCTCTGGGAAATGGTACAAAAACACTTTGCTAATATTTAGTAGAAGTCCTTTTCATATATTCAAAACGTAGTGTAGTGTAGTCATGTAGCTAGTGTAGATTAGCCTACTATTTCGTGTTCACCAAGGGGTTCGCTATCAGTAACGGGAAAAAAACAAAACAATTGTGTTTATTTCGACAAAGAATGAAACTTATAAATCAAGTCGTCGTCTGTCACACAGTCGTTACGGTTACGGTACCTACAAATATCCAATGGAAGAATTCGATTGACTGTTTATGGAAAGAAGCAGGGTTTGGCCTACTGAAATATGTCAATCACTGCAGAGCTCCAAAGCTAAAAATAACATGGAAACATCTTGGTTTCTTAAGGTATTCAAACACCCCGTAAGACAATGAGGAGCTTAATGAATGCACCAGGTTTTACAGCTCTTGTGGCTCCAGACTTCCTTCATGTTTGTGTCAAATTTCCTGTTCGTGTAGTGGGAGGAAGAGAGGCAAGCATGAATGGAAAATGGAAAATACTCTGAACCGTTTACTTTTCATTTAGGCTTCTCTCTGTTGTGAGTCTTTAATTCTGCAATATGTGAATATTTTACATATTGCAGAGATGCACAATTTTTCTACTAAAATGAAACGTGTTATACTTAATATGTCTACTTGTTGTAAAATAAACCTCAGAGATCATATTTGAGGGTATTCTCATGATCAAAAGTGGAATGGTCATAGATAGTTTTCATATATTTAAAATTTAAAGCAACATGAAACGTGACCATGTTTTACACTAATTTTCAATCCCCTATCAACAGGTTTTTTAACGTAATTGATGAGAGTTGATGTCGATTTGCCATTCATCTAGCTCCCCCTGGTGGATGGTCACGGTAGTGCTTCTCGTGGTGTTTTTTTTGTCAAGCCCAATTTTTGGTAGTTACTATATACATGTCTCAAAGTAGCTAATGCTGAAAGTGCTGGAAGAACATCTAACTATATTTTAATTATAAGTCTAACATTTTTCTATACTAAAAGCAAATCTAAATCCTTAATATAGCCTATAGAGCTCAAACTATGTGAAGGCTCATAAAATAGTATGACTTTGACGAGTGAGAAAATATCTTAAAAGTTTCTGGATGCCACTTCATCCATGCATTGTCAAAACACTGACAAATTTAATTGATTTGTCGTTTTATAATAATTTTATTATGACAAAAGGTTCATATTACATCATTACAGTCAAAATCAGAACAAGTTATGGTACTGAGAATAGGAAGGACAGCATAAATATTAAGCTGCAGTTATACAATATGTAGTGAACTCAAAAAAGGTGGTGTCTAATTGTATATTACATTTTTGATGAAGTGTTGTTTTATGCATTTATGATGTGTGATTAAGATCAAAAAGTACATTAAGAGCACTGCACATCTCCGCAGATTATGGAGGTGTTGCTCAAAAATGAAATCAATTTTATTATGTGTTCCTTTTTTTATTTATTCCTACAGTATGTCACCTCAGAACAGCGAAGAGAAAGATGACCGGGATATCCTAATTCACTGATCTGAAATTCTGAGGGATGGAGACTGGAAATGGAGAAAGGAAAAGCCTTGGTTGATGTGAGAGAAATAAAACAGGAAGGTCACCATTTGACACTACTGATGGTTACTTGTGGACCAGGGTTGCCCAAGTTAGTCTTGGAGGGCCGCGGCCGGTGTCCTGCAGAGTTTAGTTTCAATCCCAATTAGACACACCTGAATCAGCTAATCAAGCTCTTTCTACAGGGCTGTCCAAAGTCGGTCCTAGAGGGCCGGTGTCCTGCTGAAATTAGCTCCAACACACCTGCCAGGAAGTTTCTAGTATATCTAGTAAGAGCTTGATTAGCTGGTTCAGGTGTGTTTAATTATGGTTGGAGCTAAACCCTCCAGGACACCGGCCCTCCTGGATCAAGTTTGGACACGCCTGTTCTAGGTATCCTAAAACACAGGTGTCAAACTCAGTTCCAAAAGGGCCGCAGCTCTGCACAGTTTAGTTCCAACCCTAATTAAACACACCTGATCAAACTAATTCAGTCCTTCAGGCTTGTTTGAAACCTACTTGTAAGTGTGTTGGAGCAGGGATGGAACTAAACTGTGCAGGGCTTCGGCCCTCCAGGAATTGAGTTTGACACCCCTGTCCTAAAAACTTCCAGGCAAGTGTGTCGAAGGAAGTTGGAGCAAAACTATGCAGGACACCAGCCCTCCAGGCGGTTTGGGCACTGCTGTAGACACTGGGCTGGTGAATATCAACAAATTTATTGCACAATTAATGTGCTACTCTCTTAACATGTACAAACCTCTCACATGACAAAAAAAATCTGACCTATAAGCTTTGCTACCTGTGGTTGAGACTAAACCCCAGATAGCAGACCTTCATTGACTTAACATTTAATCAACGGCTAAAACTTTCTTAGTTGAATTTTCATCAGCTTTGCACCCTCAAATAGTTTTTTTTTTCCAATGAGAGAAACAGATTCAAAAACACAGACAGACTGATGAAGTTAATGATATAATTAAGTGATTAACTGAGTGTTGGGTGAGGCAGTGGCGCAGTAGGTAGTGCTGTCGCCTCACAGCAAGATGGTCGCTGGGTCTCTGGTTTGAGCCTCTGCTCAGTTGGCGTTTCTGTGTGGAGTTTGCAAGTTTGCACGTTCTACTGGGTGCTCCGGTTTCCCCCACAGTCCAAAGACATGTGGTACTGGTGAATTGGGTAGGCTAAATTGTCTGTAGTGTATGAGTGTGTGTGTGAATGTGTGTGTGGATGTTTCCCAGAGATGGGTTGCAGCTGGAAGGGCATCCGCGGCGTAAAAAACTTGCTAAGTTGGCGGTGCATTCCGCTGTGGCGATCCCGGATTAATAAAGGGACTAAGCCGACAAGAAAATGAATGAAGTACGAGGAGAGTAGAGTACAGAATTATATGCATACAAGGGAATTAACAACAAAAATTACGGGTAATCATATACATTAAGTTTTTTTTCCAGCAGATGGGATGTCTCACTAGCTTTGGTATTACTCTGTATAGAATTGAGGGAATCATAAAAAATCTTTAAATCAGTGAAGAATAGTTTACACTTTGGTACAGTCAGCACATTTTGTCTTGTGTATGTGGTACTTTCCAAATAAAATAAGAATTTTTGTTATTTTGTCCATTTCCAATAATCCAGAGTTACAATCCACCAATAAAACCATTTTATCATATTGATAAATTTATTAAACACTTCAAAAAGTAGAAAACTTGGGACCAAAGCAATTTTGTGTAACTGCAACTGAAAAATAAATGAAGAATTGTTTCCGGTTCCATTTTACAAAAACAAGGGTGAAAATCCTTCCTTAAACTTACAAATAAAATCATTGCGTACCTATAAGAAATAAATTGATGCCATCTACCTGTAGATACGTAGATGAAGAGGCGCCCTCTAGTGTACCTAGGGTGATAATGGTCTGTGTTCGAACTGGCTAAAATGTGCAATGACGTTAGCCGTTTCAAACATGACAGGGGGCGCTAAACTGCGGTTTTCTCTGTGTTATTATCTATGATGTTTAACAGAGTAAATGAATGTTCACAGTATGTCTGATAATTTTTTTCTTCTGGATAAAGTCTTATTTGTTTTATTTTGGCAGTAATAAAAGCAGTTTTAAATAAATATATATTTTTAAAAATAATTTTAAGGTCACTAAATATCTCCTATAAGCAATATATATTTTTTCAATGGTCTACAGAACAAACCATCGTTATACAATAACTTGACTACCCTGACCTGCCTAGTTAACCTAATTAACCTGGTGAAGAATTTACATGTCACTTTAAGCTGTATATCTATCTATCTATCTATCTATCTATCTATCTATCTATCTATCTATCTATCTATCT